TTTGATTTGTTCGTGATCTAACTATTCTAAAATTCGCAGGTTTTGCCGAAAACATTTTTTCTAAATCTTCTTGCACGTTTCATTATTATCGTTACACGTAGTTCATTCGATATAAGTTTGGCCATACACGCTACGGTCTACCGGAGAGGTCTACCTGCGCAGGTTGACCGCTTGTCGTAGCGTAGAGATCTTCAGTTAATTTCGATATGGCATCGATTGAAGATGACGACGATGTGATGGCTTTGATAAATATTGCGTTAATCTTAAAAAATAATAATACGAAAACCGGTAATAAAAAGCGAACGAAGTGGTGTAAAAATTGGTTATTAAAAAGAAAAACTTATAGCCACATCAATCTAATGAATGATTTAATATTTGTACTTGAAGAATTTAAAAACTACCTTCGGGTGGATGAGAAGACATACCTGGGATTACTTGTAATGGCGGTTATGGTGATAGAAAAAAAAAGATAGTTATTAGAAACAGTATTCTCTGCACGAAAGATTTATCAATTACTTTGAGATTCCTTGCAACTGATGAGAACGACTACTCCATACCGCAACTAGAAATGACAGGGCAGTCGCCTGCCCAGGTAGTACATGCAAACATGCACAGGTTTACCGTACAGTATCACTACAACGAATTGATTTTCGATCTTGCGCCGGTCACCTGCGCACGTACACAAAACTGCACAGGTCGGTTCCTACACACGTTCAAGTGTACCTGCACAGTACACCTGCACCTCTCCGGTAAACCGTAGCGTATATGGCCGGCATTAAATCGATTATTATTTGAAGACAGTTTGAATTGATCGTGATCGCGATCCTTTCATTTGATGATATGGTAATATCAAGCAGCACCTAAATTTAACAAAGTTTGCAGGAATTTATAAATAGCGAAAAGCTGTCCTCTGAAGCTGGTCTTGTCTATGAAAATAAACGGAACCTAATATTATCACTTATTGCAGAAATACTTGACTTCATCCACCATAATTTGCCGTCATTGAAATTTGATTACTTAGTTTACAGATTACGTTATCTAACTTCATAGCTCTTTGCAGTTGCAAGTAATGAACAGATTGTCAGCAATCGTGTAGTTACTATTTATTTATCCCATTGCTACCCTTTTAAATATTTTTTTTTATAATATCAAGTGCTATTATAAAATATAGATTTTTTTAATCGTTTATTTTCGTAGACAATACCAGCTTCAGAGGACAGCTTTTGGATATTTATAAATTTATTTGGCGTACTGATTGCGATTTTTCTCAGTTTTAATATCCCTATGTCTGGCCGTATATTGTCCTTTATTCGGTATTCGGCCGGATATTCAAATTAAGCCGGATACCGGATAGTTACCTGATATCCGTTTCATCTCTAGTAAAATGGTAATAACCTCACAGGATTGTAATATAATAAGTAATATTATTACTAACATCATAAACAACAACTTTTGTTTCGTAACTTTTTACTAGCCATAATAACTTTACCAAAAATAAAATTTTAAGTTACAATAATAATAACGCACACACTCAACATAGCCGCACTAGGGACGCCCTGAGTCGCGGGTGCCATGGACACACACATAGACAACCACAAATAACAACCAAACTCACGAGAAATAAATGTAGGCCATACAAATATTTCTCTCGACCTGGGAATCGAACCGGGAACCTCTGCGTGGCTGTCCGGCATGGTAACCATTCGACCACGGAGGCAGTTAATAAAGCTAGTTATGGTTGTTCTACGTGACAGGTTTTTAGAAGGTAGTCAGTTCAAATGTTCAAGCATTCTCCCCTACGACGCCCACTCACGCTCCTGGGTTTTACACGAGAGTTATCACTATTTAGAGCGAACAATTTGAATATTTTTATTTTTGTATGGAAGTAAAATGTGAAGAAATGATTAAGTCATGGAACAATAGTCGTTGTTTATTATGTTAGTAATACAGTCTTGCGAGGTCGTTAGTATTTTACAAATAACCCTGTATAAACTTTATTCACATTGAAAATTGTAACTTTTACGTTTTTGTTACTCTCTCGAGCAGAGTATATCACGTCAATGGAAAGTTAAAATAACAAAGCAAACACCGCCACGAGAGAGTGGCGAATTACAGGATTACTGAAACGCCAAAAACGTGTTCAGATCGCCACGAAACCTGGACGTGTTGATGCAGACAATACAAATTCAAACTAATGGATTTACGACTCATTTTCGCTCAAAGTGGCGCTTTAGACTTTTTGCCTATGATGATAACATTGACGCTCTTAATACAAAACACAAATGCAGAGAAGTAACATTGAGTTACGTGGTTTTACCCATTCATTTGGAGGACTAATACGACAGAAGCTAGATAGAAGCCGGAGACATTGCTGTTCTCACGCTTCTATGTCGCTTCACGCGCAAGTCGCGCCTTGTGCAGCGTTGCTGGTAAGTGTAGTTTCCCCTCACCGACATTAACACAATATTTTTTATATTTACGATGTGTACACAGCCTGGAAACTCTTGATATCCTATGTAATGTGTATTTGAAGTACTTATAGACTAAAATATATATGAATGATTTCATTACGTAATGCTATAAATTAATATAAAAAAGCAATTGCAATATATAGAAGGGTGAAAAACAACTTCAGGACTGTGACAGAGCGTGACTGTGTTAAAGCTTGTTTGTTTTTACTTTTTATAAAATTTCTTCCTTTCTGCTGCTGCAAAAAGTTGGGAGCACGTTAAAATTTCGTAACAATAACTTTTTTGTTTCCACGAAAGTGTTTTTCTACTAATGAAACTCTTTTTTCATGTTCTAAACGCAATTAAATGTATATATAGCTCTAATGATAATTAGCTCTTTTCCCAGTTAAACGATAAATATTTATTTTATTTCCATTTCTTCGTTCAACTTGAAATTTAGTGTATTGTTTTTTTGAATAATTTTAACAGCTGTCTCATTTAATTTATTTAATTTTTATTTTATTTTATTTAAAAAAAAATTAAGTTACTCTTACTTTTAATTTATTTCCTTCATTTTAGTTTCAAACTTTATACAGATTTTCAATTCTCGATGACATCAAAAGTGGAAATGATGCCTATAAATAGCTTCATAAACTTTTTGTTTTGAAGTATAGTCTAGGTTCATTAGGCCATCTACTAGTAACAGCCTTTGCACGTTAAATGCTGGATAATGCAGAATGAGATGATCCAAATTTGCAACAGCTAATCACATTATTCGCACTGATGATGTTGATACGTTGCAAGTGTGCTGGAAACTTGCCATGTCCAAATCGCAATCTATTCATTATTATAATGAATTTTCTAGAGGGTGACTTTCATTTTAAATATCATGGTTTAGATGGGATTATGGAAATCTGACGCTGCAACTAACTAAAAAAAATTGTTTACTAAAGAATTATCGGGTTTGAGCTTATTAAATTTATCTCGACCAGCTTTTAGCTGACCTTATTCACTTTTTAACCGACTTCAAAAAAGGTGGAGGTTTTCAATTCGGTTTTATTTTATTTGTGTGTATGTTACGCGATTACTCCGGCATTTGTGAACAGATTTTAATAATTATTTTTTTGTTGGAAAAAGGGTACCTCCGTATTGGTCTCATTTAAATTTGAATAAATCCTCTAAGGGTGATAAACTAGGGCGTGAATTAGGTGTCGCGCACTTTCCGGCACCCAATATCAATAAAACTTCGCAAATAGATGTAATTCATATAATATATAAAATTTGTAAGACCTCTATGATCTGCCAACGTCTTTTGTGGCTGTCTACTTCCAGTGTTGGCTACCAGCCCTCGTAGCATGGCTACGCATGACAGTCACGACGCGCGCGATACAATTGAAATAAGCGCGCGCTATTGGCTATCTAAATTAGATCTGATTAAGACGGCTACAGCGCGCTTATTCCAATTTTATCGCGCGTGTCGCGACTAGCATGCGTAGCCATACTACGGGGGCAGTGTTTTCTGCAGTCTTTATCTCGCCTTACTCTACTTTCATGCATCCGTTCCACGTGACCAAACCACCCCAGTATACCTGTCTATTGTAGTCATTACGCACAGTCTTCCAAAATGCTTTCAGACGTAACATTTTGAATGAAGCCTGTCACCACAACTATGGTATATATTCAAGTCATATCGTATTATACCTAGTGAGAACACAAACAATAGACGAATTAACTGTATGGAAGACGATGTATGTACGAAGTGAAAATCGAGATGGCGTGTGATAGAAGTGAACAGATTTTGAACATATGTGTTGTATACATAAGTATACATAGTATAAGTATAAGTATATTGCAACGACCCAAAATAATAATGGTGTTAATGCACAGTGAGAGCGCACATACAATTCGCTAACATCGATGTTGGCTAGCGTACATTACTCTGTGTACTTGTATTGTAATCTAGGGCGGCGAGGCTAGGCTTAGCGTTACCCCATACCGAACGGCTGCTCCCGTAGCTGCGGCAGTTGACTCTCAGTCCTGTTCCAAACGGGACGCCAGCCAAGTTGCACCTCAATCTCGCGACACGCGCTGCCTTTGTTTAACTCTGTTGTTAAAAAAATGGGAACTCAAAGTAGCATTAGTGTCATTACAATGGAATCACCTAATTCAATAGTTATAAGACCTGTAAACCCAGTGTCTGTTATTACACCTACCAGGTCTCTTTTATTGGGTAGCCATTTTCATGTGGCTAGGAATAGTTGGACGGTAAATTAAAATAAACAAAATTGTGTATTATTTATTAATTTTTCTGTTATATGAGTCGCTTTATTAATTTTAATTTATTATTTTTCTGAGTACACGCAATTAATAATTTTACCATTTAAATTTTAAATATTATTTTATATTTAAATAAATGTGCTTTACTCATTGACTTACAATTATAGCTTTACTCGTTTTATTTGATAAATATAATAGCAAATATTTATTGATTTTTTAACTTCCTGAATATTCCACTTCGGAAAATTGTTGAGCTAGCAAATTGTTGTCTAGATTCCGGCATCCGTGATCAGCAGTGTTGGTACCGTGAGTCTGTCATCAACGCGGCCTATCCACCCGACGCCGAGCACAAGTATGGCTAATCCGACCAATCCTGGCACGGGCAGCAGCGGTGCCGCCGCTGCTGCTGCTGCCGCTGCACAGCCATCTCACCAACTACCCCCCAGCCAAGCGCCTGTGCGCAACCTCCCAAAGAAACGCAAATTTGATCCATCCGAACTCGAGGAGATCGAACGCAACTGCGCCTCGAATTCCAACGTCGCCGCATCGGCCTCCATGCAAGTCGAGTATCAACCGCCGGCTTATCAAGTCTCTGTGATGCAGCCGTCACCGATCGTTCATCATTCGCCGCCGAGCGAAGTCAAACCGTTCATACTCCGGTATCCCAACATCGACTTATCGGAGTGGCGCGATCATCGCGTTTTGGCGAAGCAACGCGGGCTGTACATCCCGGGGGTGATTCGGCAGGCCGAAGGTTGCAAAGTAATCGTCGAGCTGGACGGGCAAGAGAACGAGCCGGTCGAGTACACGGATATATTTGGCGCAAATAAGTATGATATCATCAGCGACGCGAGCCCGCAGATGAGCCACCTGTTGATCGGATCCGCGTGTGTCGTGCGGACCACTGATCCCACTCGAGAAGGCACTCAAAGCGTGTTTGTTGAAGGCCTAGTGTTCGAGGTGCTCAATTTTCCCATCAGAATTCGAGTGAAGGTAAGTTTATTTCGATACCTTGTTTTCAGTTCAGCGTACTCGATCCTAATATAAAACGCTCAAACCTTTCATTTAAAGATTTACAGTTTTTAATGTAGAGTTCAAGATTAAAACTATTTTCTTTAAAGTTAGGCATCAAAATATTGTAGGTATTAATGAACGACTAAAATAAAAATGGTGAATCATATAGTTAAATTTGTTACATTAATTACAAAGATCGAGTTGTCGACTATAAATGTCTGAAAAGAACGATGAAAATAACAATATAGTCGAGTTAAATAGAAAAATTATTACGTTATCCAATATTTTCTGTAAGAGATCCAATTTATCGATTATGAGTATCTGATAAGTATTGTAATATTTGAATGATTATGGAAATATCAAAACAATATATTACAAAACCAAATACAAAGATACGACGCAAGCACATAGAAGAATTCATGACGTCCCCAGGTTCGTTCCGTGGCTTAGTTGGAATACCGTCTGGCACTGTATGCTAGAAGACGTTGGTTCGAATCCGGGCGGATCGAAGGAATTTTTTCTGAGTGTTCGATTTTTTTATTAATAATTATAACAAATTACTGGAGTAATTTCACATTAAAATAATTAATAATAATAATAATAATAAAGAGCTTTATTTATCTACATTTGCATAACAATTTAGTCTTAAATAGCATCATCTATAGTTACATATATTGTGTAGATAACAAGGAAAAAATCTCAGCTTAAGCTGTTTTTCAGACCCACCCTTTTTGAAGAAACTATATTCCAACGAATGTAGTTGTATGACGCGTCTCGAGTAGCTCCAAAAAATTGTCACTTACCTTAAATATACACATATATTTATATATATTACTTGAAGTTATAATCCTATTGTCACTATGGTACCAGTGCTAAATAAAACATTCCAGTTCAAAATATTCCAATTTGAAATTTAAGCAATTTATTGAATTGAAAATCAATTCAATGAAAAATTTAAATAATTTATAAAATCAATAAATCAATATGGACGTTGAAAATTGTGTTGGAAGCAGGTAGGATTAAATACACTACTTCGAATAGGTATGTGTGTAAAAGCTAACTTAGAAATTTCCTATTTAGAAATTATTTCAATTAATTTTGAGTAGCAAGTTGTTAGACCAAAGTTGTCCGCCAGCAGCATTAGGTGAAACTTTTAGTTAACTGAAAACTTCGGAGGATTAAGTCGTTCTGTGTAATTAATAACTCGCCATTGGTATGGTGAGTTATATACGAATATGTTAATTCAATAGTGTATGTAGAACAAAGCAAATTGGGCTTCGTCGATAGCCTACCGGAGTAGGCTATTGACTGATTGGTGAGGGCAGTAATTCTTCCCTCCTTATCATAACTAACTATTTGCATTTTAATAATTACCTAAAGTTTTATTGTCACCTACAAAATGTCTACTACGCTGATTTGGCTTAACAATACAACTAAAACTAAATATAAGATCTAAAAAAACCGATTAGAGTGTCTCATAGATCTCCATTCCATTTTCCATTCAAATCATCGATTTCAGACATATTCAATGACAATTTCGCTAAAAATGTCGATTACGTTAGTTATAGGAGGGCAGAATTGTGTAGTATGCGCCCAAATGGAGACCAGTGTTTTAATATTTTAGGAACTTTTTCCTATAAAAGACGAAAGAATTGCTCGTTAAAAGTATTGCGCTGTTTACTATCAAAATGTGTGGTGCATGGATAACACGGCTGTCAGACCTACGCGGAGTTGCATGCGTCAAAACTAATTTAAGATTTAATTTTTTATTGAATTAATATTCAATTATTTTTTTGTGAAATTACGCCACTAGTTTGTTATAATTATTAATGTGCTTGTTGTCGTATCTTTGTATTTGGTTTTTCAACGACTTTTTAGCCATACCGCCATCTATAAGAAATCTGTGAAAGTATTTCGTGACCCAGTTACATCAAGTCATGGAACGAACCAGCGGACCTCACTACTTTAAGATTTGTTTAAAAAAAGTCACACTTTTCGACGCAAATAGTGGCTTTTCGGGGTCTCGACGAGCGCAAATGGAGAGCAAAATATATTTCATGAGATCGAGTTCATTACAAGATTAGGGAGGTACAAACGTAGGCGTCAAGCTACAGTATGGATGTAACTCGCAAGCAGGTGACCGATGGCGACATTGGCAAGGAGACGGTGGAGGTGAAGCGTGCGGATCTGCGGCTGGTACAGCCCCCATGGGCCGACGAGCTTGAAGACGCTGGTTCCCAACCGCCCACCACCATTCAATCCCAGCATCTTAGGATGCATCATTCTGTCCCCATGCAGGTATGTAATATTATATAGACGTAATCATAATCATGTGCCACAGACTCTGACAAACTGTCAATATATCGCATCGCCTGTGAAATAGTGATTTAAAAAAATTAACAGAAAACGAGATATAGGTTTTATTATCGAGTTCTTAGGTTTTCGCGATTGTTACACATAGGAAATGAAACTATTTTTCCGGATTTAAATAGCATATGTTAGTTTTTAGGGAGTACAAAATGGTATACTATAATAATATGGAAAAATGAAGTTTTGTTCTTGTTCTCTGTTTTTGTTTATAAATTTCATTGTTAAGTAATTTTTATATTCTTTGGCAGTTCAGTTTGTGTTTCACGGTAGGTGCGATATATAGATAATATTATTTATTTACACTTGTATAGGGGTGAAACAGATTGGAGGGAACAGACTACTCGATGGATCAGACACCATATTTGAGACTATCAGCGCAAAAGTGGTGTATGTTTCACCACTCACATTCATTTTTTTTTTCTACTATATTACTTTAATTGTTACTAAAGTACATAATTATTTTATATTTGGGTGCAATTTTCAGGTATAAAAAGTAAGAATTAAATATCAATTTGTCTCATCATAGCACTGAGTCTTCCAAGCCTGGCGTTGACGGAATCGTTGTGTAAAACGACGAAGCCATATCCACATAAAACTTGAACATTAACAAAATGTGTGCTGCATTTGTTATATGGTTAGAAAGCGGCCTATCTCAGAAACTTAATCTATCAGGAAGATGTTTTAAAAACCACTGAGTCGTATCTGGCGCGCAAGGCCGACGAATCGTACATCGGCCCAATTTTGACACTGATTATTGTAACCTACGGAAAGCTCATTTACCTACGGAAAGGTTGTTCCCATACAAGATGACCGAACCAAGCTGGGAGAGAGACGCGTAAACTTACATTAACGCTAAGCCTTTCCCAACTTGCCAGTGGCGCCATCAGGATCCCAGATGTTGAGTCTCATGCGACTAATTGCTTGGACCTGCTGTTAACAACTGATCCAGACCCCTTCTCTGTGGTTGTGGAGCCTCCATTTTGTACTTCCGACCAATGTCTAGTGAAAACTATATCCGTGTACTCCTCACCCGAGTAGGGCCCTAGTGGTATGGGACGGGTGTAGTGATACAGGTTAGCAGATTGGGATGAAATGCGCCATTTCTTTACCTCATATCCCTGACAGGCGTTTTTTTTGCTTCACGAGATTCGTCGAGCTGTGCTGATGGTGTCTGTAGTAGAGGTCTTGCGTTTGGATATGGAGTATTACATATCATACTGTACCCAATGGACCATACGGTCGTCCATGGTTTAACGCTGACTGTAGTTGTGATGAAGCACAAAAACAGGCCGCGTAACAAGCTTGGGCAGGTGCTCGACCATGCAAAGCTCCGAGTACTCGGAAACTGAACAAAACTTTTAATAAGGCCTCTTAGTAGTAGTTCGTAGAGGAAATCCAGTCTTGTCGAGAGTCCATGCCATTAGCCGTTTGAATTTGACACTCAAGGCAGTCTCCGATTGGGGCGATATCAATCTTGTCACATTGGCAAATTAAACGCTATCAAAACGCAGGCGTGTCTATTCTCCACTAAACAGACTCCCTTTATTTGAGCTGACTCCAACTTTTTGTGATATATCCATACCGATAGCCGTCGTCCAATTTGAACTTCGGCAGATACATTGAATCGATGGCCAAAAATGCAGCAAGGAACCTTGGCATCCTTTTCAGGGTGAGGCGTTAATTTACGCCGGGAGAGTTGCTTCAGCTATACCAAGCACAAGTCCGGTCGTGCATGGAGTACTGCTGCCACCTTTGAGATGGCTCTGCTACATACCAACTGGCCAGCTTGTTAGGATTCAATTAACAACCGTGCCAAGAGGCTTAAACGTGACTCGGAATTAGTGGAGACGAAGCTGCAGTACCTTGAACACCGCCGTAAAGTTGCCTGGTTACCGGTATTTTACAGGATATATCACGGAGAGCGTGCGATGGAATTACACGATTTAATTCCACCTTCCCCTTTTCATCACCGGGACTCTAGGAGTAGGTTTGAGTTCCACCCCTATGTTGTGGATATTCCAAAGATTAGCAAGAAGCGTTACGCTTCCACATTTATATGACGAACGGCTGTGGAGTGGATTTCCCTGCAGACTTGTTCCCTCAACGTTATAACTCGTGCTAGCTCCATCGTCGACCTCATCGTTGCTTTCCATCAGGTGAGATGGAGGTCACATTCACACTTACATTTTATGAAACAAATTCACCAGGAAAAATGACCAGAGGTTGCGTGTCTGTGTTAGTCATAACAAGAACGAATGTTGCTACCCGTTTTTTTTCCTACACCAACGACCAAATACAGTCATACTCCTAGTACTTCGTTACTTTTAATTATTTTAATCGCAGTCCAAGTAAACACGCTACGACAGAATTTAACTTATCAGGTACACTAGGTGTCAACTCGGAATACGCAGTCACATTCATCTATCTAACCCGAGTATAACCTTGGATGATTAAGTAACCAGGTTATCTATTACTTAAACGCATTCAATTGACACGGTTCAAATAATACTTTTAGTACACGAGGAGCTTTCGGATTCCATTCTCGGTTGAAACAATTTGTAAGTTAAATTTTCTAAATTGATTAACCAACAATCCGATAATGGTATTGAGATATTATGCGCATGAAAAGGAGATAGTCTCGATATATTGCTGTTTTTCAGTCTCCGTTTATGACGGATGTTGTTGGAAAATTGTATAATGGGCCCTTTTTATAACTTTAAACTTATTGATAGTTCAATAATAAAATACTTGTTACAAATTCAGCGGTATATGTAAAAAAAAAATTAGGCACGGTTTCCGCGGCTTTGTTCGACAATGCGCGCTTATTGGTTCTTAGTCTGTGACGACATTCTATGGTCGCAACGATGAATCATTGCCTTTTGTTCTATATCCAAGAGTTTTAGGTATATGCGTCTTTAGGCAATTTTTTCAGAAGAAGTGTTAGGCAATCGTGAATAAAGGCGCACGGGCTCGTGATGTTTTGGTCTTTGGTCGTTATCTTTTCTCTCTTACAAATAACTACTTAAACGGTTCTTATTTCAACCACTACCTCTCCTAATGTTAGAGACATCTGGAGATAGACCGATTTTTCGCAGATTTAAAGATAGTGCGATCGTAACAACTACGTGCCGTATTGCTATTCAGGTATAATGAATCAGTAAAATTTCGTGTGGAGAGAGATTTTTGTTTGTATATAACGTTGACAACAATTGGTAACCGTGGCTATGAATCATAACAGTTTTTCGCAATGAATCATATTTGATTGCACCAAGCGAATAGTGAAAATCAGTAAATAGGTATGTTTATTTCGATGCTTATCGTACAGTAGGTTATAAATACATGCAAAATTCCAATCCCTGGGGGATAAATATGTGGAAAAAATTTGGTGATCGTGGATAAATAATACTATATAAAGAAACTAACTTTTTAATCTCGGGTCTGGTGTTTGTGCTACGTCGTTGTTTCCGATTTCCAAAACACAAGTGCTTTATACTTGGGATCAGAACAACGAATGTGATGTTGTCTAATATTTATTTATTTATTTATATTTATCTATTTAGATGGGCGAAAACTTTTACACATCTTCGCCTATGCCGGGCACGGGGCCCGTGGTGACCGTGGGCGCGCTCTCCAACGGTTCAATGGATGAACTGCGCAAACGCACCTTCGATGACTACGGCGAGAGCGACGACGAACTCAAGAATGACATCATGTTCCCCATTGATGTCACTCATATGGGTAAAAACTGTTTATATCGCCTACCACTCACATGAGCTTAGGTGATCGGTCTTTTAGGTTATTGTCCGGAAGTTCGTGATGCAGCGTAGATAAAGTTGCAAAGTTACACATCACCGATTTTAAAACGCGATGTGCCGTTTTATATCTTGCTCTAGTTATTTATTAAATGCGACACACACGATCTGAACATTTGCAATATTGGTAGCAATTTCAGGTCGCCATAGGATAGACTCTGCCTAGTGTGTGCTTGCTTCCGGGAATTCTCCGATTCCGGAAATATCGGTTAATCCCGGTACTGGCGAGGTACAATCAGTCCCGTTACCGCTGTTGTAGATTCCCGGTACTCCCGATTTTAGCAAGGAACTACCTACCTACAGAGTTATGAATAATATCGTACATTGGCAACTTTGCACGACACACGTTTCTGCCATTATAATACTTAACTACAATGTGATTTTTCTCAAACATGCTCGGAAATGTTTGCATTGCTTTCAAAAAACGAACACGGAAAGTTTGTCTTTTATGAACCATGCTACTTCTTTCTGGCCAAGGCCTGTAAAGTAAGTATGAAAATCCATTACTGTCCTCTTCTCTAAACTTTTAAATCTACTTGCTAATAATGACAAAAAAAACTCTTACTCAACCCACCCATACCCAACTGCCCAGTGTTCATAACTAATCAAATCAAAAATACCTATCAGTACCGCTTACTTAAAAAAAAGAAAATGGCGGTAACACTTAAACTAAAGTATTTTGATATTCTTTTGTTTTTTCGTCTTTTTTGTATTTTGGTTAAGAAAATTAGTACTAGTGAGAGGAGCGAAAACGAAATTACAGTAATAAGATATACTTCCAAAACATCATCGGAAATTCACCAGAGTACTATTAAGTGGCCAGGAAAAACAATAACATTTGCTTTTAGCAATTGTATTGTATAAATAATATGATTTTACGATATTATGTTATGCTAAATTTAATTATATCTCGAAGGTTTTTATTCAAAATATGTATTTTGAATAAAAACCTTTACTTTCATTAGAGAATGAAGTTTTTCTTTATTATTTATGGTATTATTATTAAGTATATTATTGAATAGGTACGGATAACCCGGAAAGAGCATACCTACTGGTTACAGTTTAAGCTTTTCAAGAAGTACCGGCAATATCGGGAGTCAACATTTGAGGAAACGCACCGGTTCTGCCCTATGTGGGACTAACTATAACCAAGTACAGTGCTTTCAAGCATGACGTCACGTTCGCAATGCATTTATCGCAAATATTAAAACGTAATGACAATTTAGCGTAAGTTTGATTTTATAAATTAAGTCATATTGCGGTCTGTATTTGTGATGTCAAATAAAAATAAATAATTATTTTAATTAATTCGTTAAATTGTTTAGCGCGTGTGATGTAAGCAGATTTGCTCTAATCGTAACATATATATGTACCAACAGCAGCCTACGTCCCGTCGAGCTCAGCCTCTTTACTAGATGTGGTATAGAAGTTCCAAGAACTTTGTAATTGATGAAATCATTCAAACGTAAGTTTATTGATTACAGAACCGTAGAGGCATTAGTCAAGTACACAAGTAGATCAAAAATATGAAAGAAAACGTCAAAGATATCATATACGTTACAATTCGTGGAACAGGAGTTATAATAATACCTATCAGAACAAAATGATCTATAGCCGGGTGTTGTTTGCTCTACTAGACTGCAGCAACAGCAAACGTAGCAGCCTGCAGAGTCGTGGCAGCACTTCAAGCCTGCTCGAGCGTAGTCTCACCCCTCGATCTCAACCCCCCACTCCAAGGTAAGTCGTTTAAAAACCATCAAAAACCATTTCCACGAAATGAGATTAAATAATGAAAATAACCTATTTTAACCAATTAAAATGGGCCTTTAAAATGTTTTAAATATATTTAAATTAAATGTACATATTTAAATTAAAATGTTTTTTCGACTTGTTTTCGTTCTTTTTAATCGGATTAATATATTTAATTTCTTGAATATTTATTTATTTTCGTAAAAATTATGCGAAAGTACTTGAAGCGTTGTTTGTTTTTGATATATTATTTATTTTTATTACCTTATTTATTTATTTTTATTGCCTTTAGGCTCGATGTGAATCATTTACTATAATTCTTGTCGTCTTTGTCCTTTCTTTACTGCATTGCTATAGCGAATGGTGTAAAAATGCATCTTAGCCAGTTATCAATATACAATTATTTATTTTATTGATTCCTTTCAGAAACATCACAGCGACTTGTTTTTTAACACATCATTAAATTTTTTGTTGCATTGATGTTGTATTTTCTTTACGAATTAATGCTAGCAAATATTTACGCATGACTTGACCGGCTAGAGCGATTTTTTTTCTTATACATTTTTGATGTTCAGGTTTCCATCTGTGTTAGTTTTATTACATATTTCTTTTATTTACTTTAACGATTGTTTTTCTTGTGAGATATAATATAATACTGTAAAGGTATTACCTACATAATAGATATTATATTACCTACATAATAGACACCAAAATACTTCTTTTAATAAATTGTATCGAAATACAATAGCGTATAAAGGGAGGCCTTATCCTTCTGTATTTTGAAAGTGTAGAATTAATGTAATATGTATAATGAAAGTGTAATGTAGGACATTAAGGATTATATATTCAGAGGAGTATTTAACCCCTCTACCACAGCACCTAGTTTCCTATTTATATAAAGCTCTAGTTCCCCGGGTTTTAGTTATACAGCACAATCAACCGCACGCAAGTAGATTTTAGGTAGAGGGGATTTGGTGTACATTGCGCTGGCGGTGAGAAACGCACGATGCGATGATACAAGTGTAGTTTGATTTGTAACACAAACAATTGGTTTGTACCAATTAATTTCCATATATATATATAGATACATCTATGTATTATTTCTTATATATATAAGAAATAATACATAGATGTATCTATAAAAAAATAAACACTTCGATGGGTTTCTATAATAATCGCAATAACAAAGTTAATATAATATAATGTTTGAATAATTTAACTGCCTCCGTGCCGAACGGTTACCGAGCTGTACTGCCACGCAGAGGTCCTGGGTTCGATTCCCAGGCAGGGGGAAATATGTGATTGGCCTACATTTATTTCTCTCGTGCGTTTGGGTGTAATTTGTGGTTGTCTATGTGTGTGTCCATGTCACCCGCGATACACAGTTTCCCTAGTGTGTGGCTATGAGGCTATTAACGTCGCGTTATTAATTTTGGTCTATGTTCGACACTTGGACCTTGTCAGCATCGCCAAGTCCATTCCGCTTATGTTAAAGACGAAGAAAGGATCGTGAGGAAACTAAAAGATACATAAAAAAACGAAGACAAGTGCAGACCCTAAACCTGGAGGTGAAATGTGTGTCATTTTTATACAACTAACTTCTACTACTATGATGGAGTTAATACCGACAGATGCCTTTGTCCAACGAAACAGCAAAATGCAGTACAATGAAAATTAAGTAGACCAGCAAAATACTCAATATTTCTAATTGTGTCTACGGTTTTAATCGTTATAATGGTAAAGGAAAACATCGAAAGGAACCTTGTGGAACCCAGATTGACCAGTGAACATTATGTACCTCTAAAAAGCTACAAATTCGTTGTTTCAAACGTTTGATGCAAAAAGAATTATTTTTAAGTTCGTATGCGAAAAGCGAAAAATAATTATTCCATAATAACGTGACTCAAGTTGAAATTGCGAATACTTATTGACTATGAGCGAAACTTTTGCAATTATTTTTAGAAATTAGGCGTATATTACGCTGTAGCTGCTCGAAGCGAAAAAAGTCTAGGCTTTTGCCAATTTTCGTCGAATATTAAAATAACGAAAACCGATTATAATGTATAAGTAGTCTATCATATCAATGGAAACAAAATAGTATTTTGTTTTTGCGAATACTCATTTATTTATAATATGTTATATTGATTTATCGGAATTTAATTTTGTTTTGATTATTATATGTTTGCGTGACGTGTGCGACAGCTCGCAATTATATAACATTTTACATTTAATTACGTACCAAATACCATCTTTAGATTTTGTCTCCTTGAAATTTTTGAAAATGCGAATGTAATTTGTAATAAACATGCAAATACGTGTTGTTTTTGTTCCCGTTGTCAAGCCATACAAAATTTTTATTAAATATTTACAATAACGACGAATGCAATAAATCTTTCATGTGCCAAAGTTGCATAAGATTTGGGTGCTGGACATAAATAAGCCTATGCTTGTGAGATGTACTTGCAAAATCATACCTACATAATTAACGATAAACATCGAAGAAACTCATAAGTTTCTCCCAAAAAAAAGCACCGTTAAAACCCAATATGAAAATCCGGAACGAGCACATTCGTAAGATCCGCTGACTCGAGCTATAGCTCAGTTGGTAAGAACGACACCCACAGTGAGACAACAGACGCTGGTTCGAGTCAAATCATGTCGAAGGATATTTTTGTGTTTGTTCGATCTTTCTATTAATAATAATGATAAAAATCAGTTCAAAAACTGGAAGCGACATCGGTCTGACTGACATGCCTTCGTTTGTTGCGAAGATCTCAAGCGGCGACGCCGCACAAATACAAGAAGGGCGACGTCGTGTCGACGCCCACAGGCATCCGCAAGAAGTTCAACGGCAAACAATGGCGTAGGCTGTGCTCCAAGGACGGATGTACCAAGGAGAGCCAGCGCCGCGGGTTTTGCTCCCGCCATCTCTCGTTGCGTGGTGTCACCAGGTCATCGAACACTCCGCTAGCGCAGGGATCCGCGCAGACACCGCAGCAAAGGTTGGTTTTTACTCTACATACTTCATTCATAGGTTTTTTTACAGACCTACCCTTACGCCAATCTCTCACTGGGGATTTGTTTTTATAACATCAAGTGACGGGATGAACAAGTCGTGCGCCTGATGGTAAGCGACACGCCTATCCATTACAGTTGCAGTGCCACTCAGAGCTTTAAACTGCGCCCGTCGCCCTGGTTGCGTTAAGTCTCATGTACCTGTAATTTCACCGGCACCCTTACCCTTCAAAACCGGAACGCAGTAATGCTCACATTACTTCTTGGCGGCAGAAATAGGTAAAGTGGCAGTACTTTCCTTCACGAACTCTTTCACAAGGAGTTCTACTGCTGCTAACTAGGTAGGCGTAATAATTCTCTAAGTTTTTCTTTCACTAACAGCAGTGTTTTCAAACGTTCCGTAGCTATGAACTTTTCATCTAGTATTCGTATTATTGCCGTCGGTGGCTATTAAATTTTATGCAAATTGAATATCGGATGAGTCATGGACAACGGACTAAACTATCCAGACATGCTGATTGAAGCAATATGGTGGTATTTCCATAGTTAATTGTGTACTTTGTTTCAGAAGCAGCAGCAAATCGCTTTCGTCAAGCGGCACGGGTGTAGAGGGCGACGAGACCTCTCGCGAGTCGGACACCACGCCGCCCCATTACCGCGTCACCGGCCGTTTCGATTCCGATGAAACTGAGGCCGCTAATATGCTCGGTAAGTCACAATACTATTGTTTATTTGTCCATTTTATGACCCGTTATTTATTAAAGCGGAGCGTAGAAGAGCTGAGAGTAGTGTCGGCAAGAAATAGCAATTTTTACTAATTGGAGATATGATACTGAATGAGATAGCACACGGTGGGGCTAGCATGACAGGGCGTGACATGAGAGCGACATAAACCGCGACATATCGCTATTGTTGCATAGAGATCTAGCGCTCTGTGCCGCTCTCGCGGGAGTCGCGTCCCATCGTGCTAGACTTACTTTTCACGGTATAATAATAAAAACAGTACACGAATATTGGAGATTGAATAAAATAACATAGCAAATGATGTAATATTTAAGGAAAGTGATTTAAACAAGCTGCCACCTTTTTTATAAAATTGTTAAAGCAGATTAAAAAATATTCAATCTTTAAATTATTTACATACTTGAAACTTATGAAAGATTAAACGGGATTATAGAAATAAATGTCTTTTTCGTGTACTTCCGTGGTAACAGAATAAAAAATAAAATCTGAGAACATTAATTAATTAATTTTTTTTTTGAGTTCTTAGGTTTTCGCGATTGTTACACATAGGAAATGAAACTATTTTTCCAGATTTAAATCGCGTATATTTGTTTTTTCAAAGAAACCGACGTTTCGGGCCTTTAGGTCCCATGGTCACGGTTGACTGATTAATTTTTTTTAATTCATATTCAAATTCATTTATTCATCATTCATTGTGGACTAGCTTGAATAAAATTTCAACCGTAAAAATAATAATTCAGTAGCCTACATTGATGTATATTGAACTTTTGAATTTCATTTGAAGAACATCGTATTGCACTTTGCATTTTTTATTTGATATAGCTGGTTGGAATAAATGAAATGTGTGTAGCCTTGTTCTGTAACTACGAGAGAGATAACATATAGGGCGGAAATTGAAATCTAGATCGCTGTATTTACGGGAAAACTTTATTGCTACACACTGGGTTCGAATTCCTAAGGCTTTAAAGCATTTAAAAAAAAACAAATGTAGTCGGCAAAATACATTGTTATGGCGTCTATATCTGTTTGCAATAAAGAATACGATAAGTGTTAATAATATTTACTTCGCTGGCTCAGCGACCCGAAGTGGATCTTAGCCTCCGACACCAAAGTATGCCCTTTCTGTCTTGTGCCAATTCCGACCATTCGGACACAATCAGTTCCTTGAGGTCTTTGGCTACTTCATCCTTCCAACGATATCTTGGACAGCCCACTGGACGACGACCCGTAATTTGCTCCAAATACGCTCTTTTGGCAGCTCGATCCTCTCCCATTCTTTCCACATGACCTAGCCAGCGAAGTGGAGCAGATTTTATTTCCCCGATTATGTTCGGCTCAGAGAGTTCTTCTATCTCTCTATTGAATCTGGCCTTTCAGTTCCCAAATTCTCCTTTGATTGATCCCAGAATTTTTCGAAATATCTTCCGTTCCGCCACTAAAAATTTATGTTCTTCCTTCAGCGTTAGTGTCCATGTTTCACACCCATACATTAAGATTGGCCTAATTACTGTTTTGTAGACACGAATCTTTGTAGTCCTGCTTAGTAACTTGGACACCAACACTTTGTGAAGGGCAGCTGCACATAGTAGCGCGTTTACTATGCGATTACTGATTTTATCCTCCCTTTTATTTGTGTAGGTAATAGTGCATCCCAGGTATTTAAATTTTTCGACGCCATTATATGTCGTACCGTTCACTTGGAGAGTTAAAAATAGTAAACATGTTTTCCATCATTTTGTAGTGAAATCAATCGGGTATAATCATGGTATAATCAATTCCATCGCCGTGTTAACGTGGTTACTAAATAAAGTCAAAGAACATAATGAAATTAACTATAGCTAGAACTTTTCCATTACCATAACGTATTTTGTGTTGAATTATTTATTAAGTAGGTAGTTTTTTAAATGACTCAATGGCAGATACGTATGTACCTAGTATGTCTGAGTATATACATATATCTTTAGATATGTACATCCATAGAATACGTACTAAGGTATGGTATGGCGTAACGGGTTGTCCGCAACTCGACGTCCAAGCGCCTGTTTTGCGTGTGATGGGTGCAGGGTCCTACTCGTCGCCCCTTCAAAAATCTCATCAACCGTCTAGGTTTTTCAAAGACTTCGGGGAGCGACATCGTCACTCCAAGGTATTTTGTCCTGTAGGTGGCCACGCCGGAGCATTGCAGTAGGATGTGCACGGCGGTTTCCTCCCCCTCCACGCATGCTCTTCATAGAGAGCTGTAAACACCTTTTTGAATCTAGGTATCACACCTAGATTCAAAAAGGTGTTTATTACAGGGACCATGACCCATTAGAGCGGTAGTTAGAACGCGAAGCTCTTTCCTTTTGGGGTTAATAAATACTAACTACTAATAATAGACATGCGTTAAGCATGGGGAGTACTTCCTTAGCCTGTCTACAATCCGTATGGGTTGTTCAGGTGTGATGAATAGTTTTTGTACTTTTATGTAAAGGTTCTGGTCCTATAGTGTCCATCTCCGATCCTCTTCTGCCCAGTTCATCTGCTGCGTTATTACCACGTGAGCCGCTGTGTCCTTTGATTCACTGTAGAGTTACGTGGTATTCATGGATTAGTCCTGAGTTTATGTCATAGCCGCCCAGTGCTTGAAGTACTGACATGCTGTCGGTGAATATTCGAATGGAGTGGTTCTGTACTTTTCTAGCTATGATTGTTTCTGATGCCAAATTGATGCCCATACATTCCGCCTGGAATATTGTGTTATGGTTGCCAAGCGGTGTTGAAATTCTGATATTGAGGTCTTCTGAAAATACCCTAGTACCTATTCCTGAATTCGTTTTGGACCCGTCAGTGAAGATGCGATCCTCTTAGGGGTTTAGACCTTCATTGGGTTCTTCAAACAACTGTGTCTTGTATTTTTTTGTCGTAAATGTATTGTTTGGAGATTCTGTCCACAGCCGCCTTCAGTAGCGGTTCCTCCTTAACAATATTGCAAAGGATATCTGTATGTGGGGTCCTCCTGTGCTTCCATAGGCCACCTTTTTTAAACGCACTGCCGCTGTCGCTGCTTCCAGTCGGATGAACAGTTGGAGAGGGGACAGGTTCAGCATCGCTTCGAGGGCCGCAGTCGGACTCGCTCTCATGCAGCCATATTAGTCTTTGGAATTTGTCCAGCTTGTCGGCTGCGGTTGTCAGTTTGGTTCGTGGCCACCGTACTATTGCGCCGTAGATCTTATCACCGCTGTGTATAGCCATAGAGTTATTTTGGGGTAAAGTGCCCATTGCTTACCTACCATTCTATGACACTGCCAGAAGGTGATTGTAGCTTTCTTGATTTTGTTGTCCAAGTGCTTGTTCCAGTTTAGCTTGTTGTAAAGTGTTACTCCTAAATACTTGACTTCCGTTGACAATTTTAGTTCTGTGTTGAAGAACTTGAACTTTAAACAATACTAGATCTGTTTTTGTTGGGTTACCGATAATAATAATAATATCGCGCACACTCAACACAACCCCGCACTAGGGAAATCTTGTGTTACGGGTGCCATGGACACGCATATAGACAACCATAAATTACACCCAAAGTCACGAGAGAAATAAATGCAGGCCATACAAATATTTCTCTCGGCCCGGGAATCAAACCTGGGTCCCCTGGGTGGCAGTCCGGCATGGTAACCGTTCGGAGGCAGTTAAATATAGATAGTTCATATACACTGCACCATGTTTCCACAATTCTGACTGCCGCTTGTGTGATATCGCAGTGTACGTGCATAGCTTCCTGTTACTAGTAGGTATTAATAGCTTCGTCATCAGCGAAGTGAAGTGAAGAAGTGTTCCCTGCTTAATTTAATGTTGAAATCATTTACAACCATGTTCTACAATGTTGTTGTCTTCATTGTTTAAGCATGTTACTAATCCAACTGATCAGCGCTTCATCCACTCCGTATCTTCCTAGTGTTGATTGTATGCTGGAGAAGTTTGTTTTGTTGAAGGCACCTTCGATGTCTAGAAATGAGCCTAGGCAGAATGCCTTGATGTTCAGGGCCTCTTCAATCCTGCCGACATGGAGGGCCGATTCCGTGGATTTACCCCGGCTATATGCATGTTGATTGTCGCGTAGCGGTATGTTCCTTACGGCTCCGTTCCGCAGTTCCCTATCACATAACCTCTCTATTCTCTTTAGTACGAACGATGTGAAGCTAATAGGTCTGAAGGATTTTGCGTCAGTATATTTGTTTTTTCCTGGTTTCGGTATGAAGATAACTTTTACCTCTCTCCATCTTTGAGGCATGTAGCCGAACGCTAAAAGATGTTGACTAAGTGCTGGACCAGTGTGTTGCCGCCCTATTGTACAAGTAATAATAATAACGCACGCACTCAACATAGCCCCGCACCAGGGTATCTCTGTGTCGCGAGTGCCATGGACACACACATAGACAACCACAAATTACACCCAAACGCACGAGAGAAATAAATGTAGGCCAATCACATATTTCCCCCTGCCTGGGAATCGAACCCAGGACCTCTGCATGGCAGGCATGGTAACCGTTCGGCCACGGAGGCAGTTAGTTAGTGCGGGGAATACTCCACTGCCAGGGGTTTTGTATGGTTCATATATATTGGACAGTTCTGATTTGAGATCTTACAAATCTGCTATTTTGGCCATCCCAACTTTAACACCCAACTGTTAAATAAATGTTTTGAAAAGTGTTTATAAAATCTATATTTTGAAAAGTGATTCAAGGTAATGCGAAGATATATGAAATATCGTGACGAGTACCATGTGAAGCAACGAATAGCTTTTAATTGACAGCCCTCGTATGTCTGCCATTAGTCGTGAGTGGCAGGTTCCCTTGGTAGTGAATGAACCATATATGTAATATTGTATATAAATATTGCTATTACTTGAAAGAAAAATGTATTGACATCTTTTGTCTAACCGTTCTAAGTCTATATTTTGAACACGTTCCTGTACATGTGGGCGTTATGTGGCAAGAACTTGGGTACGTACGTCATAAAAAAATATAAATAGCCTTTATTTACGACTTGACAAAGGTTGCATTAATGGACTTGAAACAAGAAATGAAAGGAAAGTTGAAAAAGAAAAAGTCAATGAGTCCGAGCTGAAACCATGTCACTGTTCTCAAACGTTCTCCTGTAAAGTTATGAATTTGGATTTACTATTCCTTACGTAGAAGGGATCGAAATATTCATTTTATTATAGACTGACATCCTCCCTATATCGATTGAGAAAAGATGATAATCTTTAAACAGCTTAACATATTATAATTGTTCATCAAATTTAGCCAACTCTCGCCTGATTCGTGCCCTGGAGTGGGACGTACAAATGGGTTGATGATGTTGAATCAACCGATTCCCGATTAATTCAACCTACATATAAAATAAAGTTTTGTGGTCCTTTTGGGAACTACTATGCCACATACAGACACACATATACATAAATGAAGGCTTCATTTATAACTCTCCTTTTTACGTCGGGTTATTAATATATAATTTTGCAAATTCTTTACTTGGTTTTTCTTTATTAGTAACGGGTTTTTTTTTTCATTTTCTTCTTGTTTTTTTTTTTCACTTTCTTTCCGTCAATAGACGTCCTCTAGAGAAGCCAAGTTTCTCTATTTATGCTGTTCATTGCTTTGTTACTCTTGCCGTCACTTGAACATTGTCTTCTGACCGACGAATTTCCCTTTGTTTCTTTTGATAATTTTCCCCTTTTCATTACTTCTGTGCTCTGTATCTTCCTACATCAGCTGTTGTAAAATTATGAATGTCGTACGACTTAAGTATATTGTACGGTTTCGTACTCAATAAAAAAAATACAATGCCAATGTTCGGTCGATTATGCAGTTGTTTCCATCTACCTATACACAACATTTAGCAATCCAGATAGTTTATATTCAGGAAGTTTCTCCAGTACTCTGGCACTCCCTGTCTATAGATTCAATTCAGAGTTTATAGGCACTTAACTGGCCACTTCAATTCATTGCAACTTTTTTTATATAGTACAAAGTGAAGTGACGAACAAGTCGTGCGCTCGGTGTTCGAATCCATAACAGTTGCAGTGCCACTCAGAACTTTAAATCGCAAAGTTCTTAGGGGAACTGCCACTGCGGTCGTCACCTTGAGACGAACGACGAACTCATTCACAAAGACCTATACTGCAACTTATACCAGAGTGTAAGTAAACTTTATACGTGAATGACGTTTACTTAGACAAGACTACTAATGTTCATAGAATATTTAGAAACTCAGTTGCAGCGCCACAGTCGTGACAAGCGCGCGCCACTTTTGCAGTCACTTATAGCAAACTAAAAATGACTGAAGCGCTACTGACGCGACACAGCAGCACTACAAGCGTCTAATTTGAAGGCGCCCGTAGAATATTAATTTTGTTTTAATCTTCCTTTCCTTGTTTCGCCTGTAATTATTGATTTGCACAGTGCCGTAATCTTCAAGCTTGACTATCGCGGTGAAGAAATGAAACGTTGCAATTTATCACTTCTACAAACGTCATTCTATTGGTAAACGGCACATCGACATATACATATCAATAACCGATAGTCCATGCAGAAGAATTAAAGCGCACCACAGACCTTAATGAACCTATGCTGGAGAACGATTTTTTTGCATTCGAGACTGACCACACTTATTAACGCAGAATCGCTTTGAAAACTTTGAAACCAGTAACGTACTAAGGCGCCACTTGCGCGAAAGGACATGAAGCGTGAATAGCAGTATCTCGCTCTTTATGTCGCTCTCGCGTAAGTCGCTCAAGATACGCCACGATGGTCTACACACTTCCGATGTCCACAATGTTGTGAACAAGTGACTTATTGATGACAAAACCGACACCAACCAGAGAAAATTGATCTCCCTGGCAGAAGTAGAGCAAGTGTCCTGACTCAAGAGTTAGCGTGTTTTCGCCCTTGCTTCGGACTTCAGATAACCCTACCATGTCCTAGTTGATACGACTTAGCTCTACCTCATGTTCCCCGGTGGGTTCGTCTTGCCGCAGCGTGCGTCCATTGTACGTAGCCAGATTCTGTTAGTAGTCCGGGGATTCTCAGCACCTCCCCCGCCTTTACAATGGCCACCATCTTGATGATGTAGTGTTGCTCATTTAGAGGTAATGCCTCTAGACACCATTCTGGGCAGATGTTGACCGCAGTTCGAGACTTATTTCAGCGATAATGCTACTGCCCACTATGCAGCACACGCAGGTGAGCTTGACTGTTGAGGAGTCTATAATGATAGTAGTCGATTTCCCCGAACGATTTTAACATTCATGACGTTATTTTTTTTTAAGATTTGGCAAGTGTTGAAATCAATGGGAACCGTATCACTTGCAAATAGAATTCAACTTAACTTAAAGTTATTACGAGCTTCGCACTCATCTTTTATTTACGCACATATCAAACGTCCCGACATTTCCGACAACACCATGTCAGAAGACTAATCGTATGTATTATTAAGTAGAGCACTTGCAATTTAAAGTTCCAGCCGCATTTAGTATAATGATATACACTCTATTTGAAATCCCGGAATAATTATAAATATAATTACAAAAATCTGCGTATCCGCTTTCGCCGTGTTTATTACATCTGTGTGCCAAGTTTTATTAAAATCGGTGGACCTATTTCATCCCCTAATTTGCCAGCCTTGGAGGTGGGGTATTTTTTTTCAACTCCCCTTTTCAACAAAAAATGATCATCGAAATTGGTTCACAAATGTCGGGGTAATCGCGTAACATGCACAAAAATATTCGGTATATAAAATTATTCGGTAGGATTTCAATGAAGGATTAATGAAGACTCAGAAAGATTTTGATGACATTACAAGTGTTGGTAACACCATGGTAAGATTATATTTTTCTTATAATTATCATGGTAATTGATTTTTATAAACATGTTATGTATATTTTGACATATATATATTGTTGAAAAGTTAGTGTCTTATTTTATTTCAGTTCATTCATTTTACTTTTTCTAAAAAAAAAACTAATTTAGAAAAAAGACCAGGACGCTGTGTTTTTTTTCATGTTTTTTATTTAAAAATGGGAAAAAACACATTGGTTTTTTTTTTCAAGTTACAACACTGGTCGACACTCAGACTTTTTCATTAGTCTTGACAGTCCATTCTATGGCAGCTCACGGCAAAATGCGTTTTCTTTACTGATTCCTAAAATTCAAAATAATTTCAGCAAAGTAGGTTTATCAAGTTCTTAGGTTTTCGCGATTGTTACACATAAGAAATAAAACTATTTTTCCGGATTTTGAAATATACGCGAGTAAAATCCGGAAAAATAGTTTCATTTCCTAAAAGTAGGTTTAGTTTTTAGTAGCAGTAGAGCTTCTTAGAAAGAACATATTTCTACCTATTATTACCGATTTCTGCCGCCAAGCAGTAATGAAAAAAAAGAAATTACAGGCACGTGGAAGTTGTCAACTTATGTCTCAGGGTGACGGGCGCAGTGGCAGTGCGCCTCAGATCTTTGCGATTTAAAGAGCTGAGTGGGACTGCAACTGTTATGGACAGGCATGTAGCTTACCATCAGACGCACGACTTGTTCGTCCAGTCACTTGATATTATAAAAAAAAAAACCAGCTGCTGTCAAACTTCATCGTCATGTCGTTCAAGGACTACAGCGATGCAAGGGAAGGTTTACCTGTTGTGTTTTAACCAATCTGTAGCTATCACAGGGTGATGCAAACACAATAGGGAAACTTACGATATGAATTTTTCAAAATGATTGTCTAATGTTTACTTACCATTGACTAATGCGTTTCTGGTGAAAGTACTCCATGAATGAGTGCATCTCAACCAAAAATTTATAAAAATAAATATTGTCTCGCAGTATCTCTGGGCAGTTCGCGCTCGGGCAGCCCGGGCGCATCGCCGGTGGGCGCGGATACGCCGGGCCTACGGAACAACGTCTTTGTGCCCATCTGCTCGCCGCAGCCGCACACGCACCGTCATCATCTCATCAGGTATATTACCCGATATTTCGCAAGACTTTTTTAACAAATACTAATTTACTAAATAAACTCAACAGATGAAAGCTGATAGAAACTGTGTGGTAGAAGAGCTACGATTATTATTTACTCACTCCATCTACTGTGCATATATAGTGGAATTTTTTGCTGTATTAACGCTAAAACTCATTTAAAACTCAATAGTCTAAAATTAAATATCAATTTTACAAATGGACCCCGCCAGCAATAATGTAAAGCACTCTGTGCATCAATGAAGCCGCTCTCTTTCTCATGATGGCGGCAAATCCTGAAACGATACAAACCATGAAACAGCATCCTGAATATATTGTACACGACTCTTAGAGAGCTTAGAGCTATCTGTGTGTAGTTGACCTATGCCTATAGGTCAAGTGTAAAAGGTCTGGCAGTAAGCTTTACATAGTGATAATTTTACGTTGTTAGTACACCTTGCAAACCTACGGGTCAACGTTTTGCAACGCATTGCCAACGCCCTACGCTCTCAATATCAGTATTATCTTCCAAAGACTCGGTGACCCACCAATGCCTTAAGTACTTCAATTTAGTGACCCTATTAAGAGGAGTGCTACACAGCTTAACTACTGGGATATAATTAGAACATTTTTACAATGAAAAGTTATGTGAGATAGAGAATACCGGTCTGGAAACTAGTCTATTTTTAGAAAATGTTTTGTCGTAGCGCAAATTGTACCAAGAGGAAGCGACGGAAACTATTTCCTCTTCTATGAGATAAGAATTTTATTTTGAACTAGTTCAGGAAATTGTAGTTTTACTACGTTACTAGCAAGTGATACACCGATTTCCTTTCTTCCAATAGTCTATATAGAAATATTTTTCTGCATCGTCGAGAGTTATTTTTAACGAGCTGGGTGGCCAAACGTTCTTCACAGTGGGCGCTCCCGATCCCGGTCGCAATGAAATTTCGAATCAATTTGGGAAATTAACTTTTCTAAATTAGTTCTGGTCTGGGTGTTCTGGTTAGAAGTGAATTCCGTTGCTCTGGTACTCATGGTATAGAGAACTTCCTAGTTTATAGATCGACACGTTTGATAATACACATGATCTATGAACATTTTAATACATTATTACAATGTTAGGAATATATGCTAGAAGCAACTTAAAACTATTTGCATCAAATAGTTACATGCAAATATCTCTTGTAATTAGAAAATAGACAATGCAATTGAAGCATTGGGTGTAACAAGGGCGTCACGTAAAAGTGAGATTGGAAAAAAAATTAAAATAAAGCTTTACTGTCTTATATTTTTTCAATATTTATAGTATGACTCTTATATACTTTATTATTTATTTGTTCTATGAGTTAGCTAAAAGATTAAAGTGTTATTATTATTTTAAAACAATTAGAAACAATTGTAATTTTTTTCCTTGTGTTATTCGCCCTTGTTGCATCAAACCGGTAAATTAATGGGGCGTTCGTTTTATTATTGGTTTTTAAGGAAATAAATAGTGAATCAGTCTTATTTGAAACTTACATTGAATACATTTAAACTTATTTTTGATCATTCATTACATTGAAGCTGGATTAAAGTGAATCGACATTACCATCTTTAGCAGGTTTCACTGGCCTCCTAGATGATCTATGTTGAGGATGAAGTCGCTCGTTTCAGACATTTTTTACGTTAAAACTAATTTTTTACAAACCGCAGGTGATAACAGGTCCGAAATTCAAACGCACATTTATAATCCATGCCACAAGGGCGTAGCGCCACCTTTGCAAACGGGCTTTGGGTGCCGAACGCCCTTGTTCCCATGATTCAATTAACAACTTGACTTAACATTAAACATAAGACAACTAATAATAACGACAAAAAATAAAAAAATATACCTCTATTATTACACTATGTACGTGTTATGTGTTATGTTGATAATCTCATACAGAGATACAGAGTACTAAAAAACCGAATCAAAAGTTCGTGGAAGTGGTGAAAGTGCGCGAAACCGGATTCAAAGAAGTGTGGCAAACTAGGAGAGTTTGCCACCCTTAGAGGCGGAATATTTTCTTCAAATTTAAATGGGATCAACGCTGAGGTACCCTCTTTCCAACAAAAAAAGAATTATGAAAATGGGTTCAGAAAAGTTGTTGCGCAACATACATGCAAAAAAAATACATAGAGTCGAATTGAGAAGTTCCTCCTTTTTTGAAAAATATGAAAATGATTTGGAGCATTCTCAAGTATTTTCTTTTTAATTTTCCAAATACACATTTTTAATGGACGAAGTTCGACGATGACCATAAGCTCATGTGAGAAATTTAATCTTTTCTTTGTAGTCTGTCTTAAGCAGTATATAAAGGTGGCAAGTTCTTTACTACTGAATTGTTTGTTTAGACCCGAGTTGGTACGACCCGCGCGTGAGAGCTCGCCCGTCAGCGGAGTCGCCACTAGCGTCATCCGGGTCTCGCCGGCGCCCTCTTATCACTATCAGGTAAAAACAAACTTTTTAAACCTTCCATCCTTTGAATTTAATACAAGTACCTATAGGGCTAGCACTGTGCGAGATACTGCTATCCTCGTATAAAGATCTCGCGTTTCATGTCGGTCTCGCGCAAGTCGCGCCTTATCGTGCTAGCCTTACTGAAGTATTTCAATTATTTCTTAAATAAAATCTGTACCAATCCATATATCTCCAGACCAAATTCATATTTTGTAAATTTAAAATCGTTGCTGAGTTTTCATGACAGAATAATGTTACCGATTATGTTTATCTTTCTTTTTTATTTAATTAAATTTAAAAAAAATCCTGTTTTGACTTTTTAGGTGGATGGTCCGATGACGCTGCAATCGAACGGCATGAGCGCACAAAGCCACGTGATCGGTAGTATACCATCGTCGGCTCTGAACATCCAGAGCTCGATTCAAACAAGCTCTATTCTTAGCGCTCCCACAACCATCCCGAGCGGCCTTTCTCTGCCTCCCAGCGTGTCCTTGACTATCACAAACAGCCAGTCATCCGCCGCCAACGCCATTCGCGCGACTAAAATAGACGACATCCCCCACAACCTCGTCGTTCACCGCAGCATTCCAGTCTCCAACGGAATAGACTTGGACCAGTTGTACCGCAGCCCGCAACCGTCGCACTTAAGAAACGGTATTCATGATTCATTTCGCCGAGACGCCGAAATGTCCCCGCCTATGAATAACCACGAGAATTTCCGACGCGGTTCGGAGTACGAAGAAGAGGACCACTCTATACCTCAACGGGAAAGTAACATTCATCACATTATTGAGCAACGGAATAACGAAATTTCTGTAGCTCACATTATGGAGCAGAACAAGCGTATTGTAAAGCCGGCACCACTGCAGGCGCGCCTCCTCTCTGTGGTTGATGCTGACGCCAAGGACCCCGGAATCAAGAGATTTTATGTCATTCCGCAGAATACAATTGAGAAGAAATTTGTGTTGATCAAGAATGAACCTAGTGATATTGTTCAGGTAAACTTTCCAAGCATAATGTTTTTTATTCACCTTAAGCAACTACGATACATTCAGCTTTTAAATTTTAAATGACAATTATGTATATAATTGCTGTTGTCAATACATGTAAATTGCTCCACAACACTTCATTTCTGTGCTAAGTATTTGGGCTAACCTTTAATTTTTATTTCAGATTGAACAGAAATCACACCAGATTCCGCATCACGTGAATAATAACGAGTCCGAGCTTGAACACCGGATTGTCGATAATGGTGAACACGTACGTATATGTACATTTTTCAAAGCTATGAATCGTAATACGAAGTGTAAATCAATATCACAAACAATCGGCTTGTTTCTTTACTTCTGTCCTTTTCAACATAAATCTCGTTAGCTCTGCAGGGCTAAAAAGGCCGCATTGGCAGAATCATAATATGGTTAATTGACCATACATGTTTTCTATGGAGACCTTCCATAGAACACTGTCAAATAGAAGACAAGCGTTTTTTATTTTGTTTGAGAATTCATAATATGTCTATCAATCATATGATTCTGCCAAGGCGGCCATTTTAGCCCTGCTGTTCTCTTTTTATGGGAATATTGTGACTGGTGTTTGAATTAATTTAACTGGTTTCAGATGAACAACGTGAACAGCAGCGCCGTCATCGTGCACCCTAGCCAGCTGTTGCCCGTGTTGCCGCCGCCATCTTCGCACACCGCAATCATTGGTAGGCATCACTATTCATTTTATTAATAAAATTTGTGAGACAGAAAGGGAATCTTCAAATTTCCATTGTTACTTATTAATTTTAAGTTTAGGCGCTTCGTTATAAAACGCGAGCGGGCATGTGGCAAAACTTGTGGAATAATTGAAGCCAAAAATATCTTTACAATGAAATCTTTGTTTTAAAATGTTTATACATTTGCCTAGTTATGTATGAAAATGTAAAATAAATGTAAGAAGCATAAAATTATATTGCTACATAAATATGTATACTAAACAAACTTTATCCTTAAAATTTCTCCGTACGTGAGCTAGCACGTAGTGAGAGCAGACTTCCACTTACTAAAAATCTCTTCTTGCAGCTAGCACTTACTTGGAAAAAAAAAACAGTGTTACATATTCATCTACATATTATATAAACAACTTCTAGCATATGTTATAATTATTAATACAAAGATCGAACACTCAGAAAAAATTCCTTCGATCCGGCCGGATTCGAACCGACGCCGACGCGACGTCTTCTAGCTTACCGTGCCAGACGCTATACCAACTAAGCCACGGAACGAACCAGCGGACCTCACGAATTTTTCTATGTGCTTGCGTCGTGTCTTTGTATTTGGTTTTTCAACGACTTTTTAATCGTAGCGCCATGTATGAGAAATCTATGAAAGATTTGGTAGCTGTAAAGGTACTACTAACTGGGTGATAAATGTTTCATATATTTGTATTAATTACACTATACATTTGTATTAATAATTATAACAAACTAGTAGAGTAATTTCACAAAAAATAATTGAATATCAATTCAATAAAAATTTAAAACTCATCATACTCATTTGCACAACCTTTTAAAAACAAGCGGGCACAATTAACAAAAAAATTAAAAACGGATCCGGAAAAACCTTCTGAACCAAAGACAATAAGTGTATATTTAGACTTTTAAAAAGTTACACAATGTTAACTTTTTTGTACAGAAATATAATGGTGAAAAATAGAACTCTTTTGTTTCTGTGGATTTTGTTAAAAAAATGTGGTTTCACAATTAATTTTGTGAACCACCTCAGTCAACCGTGACCATGGGATCTGTAAAGGGCCCGAAACGTCGGTTTGTTTGAAAAAAACAAATATACGCGATTTAAATCCGGAAAAATAGTTTCATTTCCTACCTAACTTTGGAGCTATTCGAATTTTACGGAATCTGATGATTGCATTGTTCACTTATTCTAATACTAGCTGGTGCCCGCGACTTCGTCTGCGTAGAATAAGTACTTCGACTGTACTATACTAATTTTCATAGTTTTATTAGTTCCCCTTGTGACAGTGTGACCTCTTTGGATCGTCAGCCCACCTGTTTATTTAAATTCCTTATTTTATTCTCACACTAGTATTTAAATTCAAATTTTGAATTGTTCCGTTTTGCCCTGCATTCTGATTTTGTTCATAGTTTTATTAGTTCCCCTTGTGACAGTGTGACCTCTTCAGATCGTCAGCCCACCTGTTTATTTAAATTCCTTATTTTATTCTCACACTAGTATTTAAATTCAAATTTTGAATTGTTCCGTTTTGCCCTGCATTCTGATTTTGTTTCGTTCCATCGTCATTGCCTGCCCGATCGCGGTAGCCAACACATATCTTCTTATCTTTTTGAACCTTTTACTAGTTATATTTACACCGTTTACATTTTAAAGATCATAATATTATTGTTAAACCTGAATAAATACCTATAAAACTGGACTTTCAACTTTTGAACAACTAAACTTACTAAGTAAGATGTATGGAGGCTGCATAGGCTACTACTTAGTCACCCTACACCCTTACCAACTTTCATTCCCTATTTCACTCCCTTTAAGATTTATTTTTGTGACAAAAAGTAGCCTATTTCCTTCTCCGGGACCTTGGAGAAGGAAATAGGCTACTTTTGTCACAATCTATCCCAAAATTCATCAATATTGCTGTAGCGATTTAGCGGACGGAGAACGTACCTGCCTGTTATTTTCGCATTTATAATATTACTTTGGATTTGTACGATTTGACATAATATCTGTTCGCTCCTGCTATCTAAAATCTATCTTTTAACCGTTAAGATATGACGTTCTATAAGAAGTACTTAGTATTATATATTTTTTATTATCGTTTGTTTCGTACTTGTTCAAAAATGTGACACTTTACCGAATTAAAGAGTTCCTCAATAATAAAATACGTAAAACTCAAATGACTCCGAAGACATACGTACGACATGTATGCTTCATATTTATGACTACCTGATTGTTCCTTCATTTGTAAGACACATTTATAGATTTGGAAAACTAGTAGTTTTTCCATAAATGTCTATAATGTAACCAAAAAACCAAATTTATATGATAATTAAAATATAAATATTATATGAAATGATATAGTGTGTTAAGTTTGCATTTCCAGTTCCTAAAATAATAATAATTATACTATATAAACATATTAACAGTTATTTTAGGATCCAGAAATATATATGATTATTAGAACACATAACATGACTCATGCTTCTATGGCCGAATGGTTATCATGCTGGACTGCCACACACAGGTTCGATTTCGGGGCCGGGAGAAATATTTGTATGGCCTATATTTATTTTTCTTGTTTGTTTGGGTGTAATTTGTTGTTGTCTATTTGTGTGCCCATGGCACCCGCAATACAGGGTTTCCCGAGTGCGGGGCTATGAGTGTATGTGAGTTAAAAAACATAAACTGCTGTTATACGTTAAAAACATGTCGTGGTAAGAATCCCATAAGTAGCGATAATGAAACGGGAAATGCGAAATAAATACAAATCTAATAATTCATTTTATATGGTGTACTTTTTTATATAATAGGGTCATGTGTCAGCACAATAAAATGTTTTAAATAATAAGATATTGTCCACTCAACCTGCCGTTTTTATGCAATGCTATTAGACAATTGCAATGGTTTGCAATTCAAAATCTCTTTATATATCGCAAGAACCACAAAATTACATTTAAATCTTAAGTTGTAACTTGAGAAAACGTTAAAAAGGCGTTTCTTCACTGTTTATATTTTATATTCTTCGACACAGCGGGGTGGTGAAGCCGTGGTTGAAGCTCTCAAGTGGGTTCGAATTCAGTTCGCATCTCTGAGTTTCTCGGAATTTATGTGCGAAATTACACACAACAACCTTGGTCCCCAATCCGCATTGAGCCAGTGTGGGGACTATGGCCTAAACTCTACGCACCACGCAGCAGCGGGGCGTATAAATTTATTGATGTTGCATTGAACAGAGTTTTGAACTAATTGTTGTTATTACTTTCCATCGCAGTGTCGACCGGGGGAGTACCGGGTGGAGTGTTTCCTTGGCAGTCACTGGTGCCGCTGCTGACGGCCACATCGCCGCCGCCAGCTACGCCCGCCGCACCGCCATCCCCGCGCACCCCGCGCACTCCGCGCACGCCTCACACGCCGCAGACGCCGCACACCCCGCACACGCCACATATCAAAAACGAGGAAATCAAATCTGAAGGCAGTGGTTAGTTAATTAAATGTTCACATCAATAATGATTGGCAATTGAGTAGCAGTAGAAATTTTTGTGAAAGAGTTCATCCAGGGAAATAGCCGTACCTATTTCTGCCGGCAAGCAGTATTGTAAGCACATCAAGTATATAACCAGAAATAGAGACGAAATAAGGGCCATCCGCCTCTGGCAACTCATCAGGCAAGAGGGGCCTTATATCACTTTTAAATATCAACGTAAATATCTCGTTTGCGCTGAAACCACAAATTAGAAAGCTGAAATAGTACAGCGCCAACAACTGACCTGTGTGCACGTCTCCGTATATTCCAAAAATATTCTGTATTTATTGTAATAAAGGTAATATCTCTAACAATGAGGGGCTGTTCCATTCGGCGTTGTGGGAAAAACAGCTAAACATCTAATTATAAAACAAACGGAATCACATTTCATCGGTAATTAAATGTTAAATATGTAATTTTTCAATTTTCGTCCATTATAGTAAAGCTCAAGTTAAACTGGGCGATTTGAAATTTGACGACACCCGTCAATTGTTTCGAGTTCGGGCTGGCCAATCGGAGCGCGCAATTGTCACCGTAATGATTTGGCAGAATAGTTTTGAAACAAATGAAATGACATTTCGTCTCTATTTCTGCTATCTATTCGATGCGTAAGCATATTCTGTTTCGGTTGGTTTTTTAACATACCAAGTAAAATTACAGGCACATGGGACTTGTCAACTCAGGGAGACGGTCACAGTGGCTGTGTTCCTCATATCTTTGCTATTTAAAGTTTCGACCAAGCGCACGACTTAGGCTCAACTCACACTGGCGCAGAGTCGAAGCGATGCGTCGCGTCCTGTTTTTCAACTACACTGCCTGGCGACGCGCGACGACGCTCGCATTAGTGCGCCGGGATCACAGTTTGGTCGGCGTCTGACGTCTCACGGCGCCCAAGTGACGCGCGGCGAGGCCGCTCGAATGCTACCAAGTGTCGACGCTCGATTCCATATTTGCAAAACACGAAATTGTACCTTAATAATGGGAAAATAGAGATGTATATGCTATAGGCGAAAAACGTGACGCGTCGCGACGCTTCGACTCTGTGCCAGTGTGAGTTGAGCCTTATTCGTCCCGTCTCTTCGTATCATTTAAAAAAAGTTACTTATTAATTTATCAATAAAGCTAGAAATTCAGTTAGAAAGCCCTCTTTGTTAAAAATAACATAAAATTAAGGAAATCGAAATTTAACATAACGTAAACAAAAAGAGAAATCGTTTAAAAAGTGTGCCATCTGGTTGGTGTAACAATGCGTTCATGCCCTTGACCCTCTTATTATAGTTTTTATTCAACATAGTACGTATTTAAAAAGCACAATAGTTGTCTGCTGGCATTACTGTTTAGTATGTAAAATAACATCTCGATCATATTTTTCGTTCTCATTATGGCATTTTGCGGCAAGCGTTTTCGTCACTGCATTATTTGGTTTTTATTTTTTTTCCATATCCTAAGGGTTTTGTAAAAAACTAATAATGGAAAAGTACTTACGGAATAGTACCTACATGTCTAAATGTTAAAGCATGCGAAAGAAATGAAATTATTTATCTGTATAGAAAAATGATACACTTATAGTAAATTTAATATTTACATTTTAATATCAATTATTTTGATTAACGTCCTCTGTGATCGGTTAGCACTGTGGATGTTAGATGAGAACGTCTCTGGTTCGATTCTCGGCAAGAAATCTTGTTTAGTAGTATAGAGTAGCGCTATAAAGTGAATTTCGTTATTCTGGCTTAATTTATAGTACAGGGGATTCCCTAGTTTGAGACCAGGCAATTGGTGTGGTTGTCTGGCACATTACATTCAAAGGGTTTCATATATTGGTAACATTATTTTAGACTGCCAAAACTATGTTCAGTGAGAGGACGTGTTGAATTCATATCGTCGGTGTTTTGTAGAAAAAGCGAAAGCGCCATTTATAAAATAAATTCAGGGGAGCATGTTTTAGGTTTTAACGACTGTAATAAAATATTAACGTGCTGTTTTAAAATTAAATTTTGGTTTTAATTAAATTTTAAAGTTGAATTTAAAACAGGACGTAGATATTTTAAAACAGTCGTGAAAAACTAAAACTAGTTCCCCTGAAAAATTTTTCGAAACGGTGCTTTCGCCCTTTCTACATAACACCGATAAGAAAATCACTATCTTTCTGCAGGTGAAACACAATGACTAAAAAGCTAAAAACTCAATAAGTGGTTTTATTTGGTTTTATTTGAATTTATTTTATTAGAAAGATGGGGATTTTCTTACAACAGATACATAATTTGGAGATTTTTTGTGAATTTGTGGAAAGTCACTTATGTGGTTTTACCTTTAAGCAGACCATATAGAGTTACGTGTAAAATACTAGCAATCTCGCTGGAGTATATTACTAACATCATAAACAACAATTTTTTTCCATGACTGAATAATTCATAAGATTTTTAGTTTCGTACAAAAATAAAAATAGTTCACTAGATCGGTTTAAACGGTGACTACTCTGCGCGGTAACATAGAAAGCGCTAGCGAAAAAACCAGTCCGATGTAAAACGCAGGAGCGAGGATGGGGGTCATCAGAGAGGATGCTTGCACGTTTGAACGTAGTACCTTACTATCAAATACAGATGCAAATGTCCGATAGTACAACAATAAACAGTTTAGTTCTGGTTAAATTATTATTTTATATGATTTTAGTATTTTACATAAATAACCCGGTATTACATAAATATCACAATCAGTAGCTTCGAACTGGACACTTTGAACTTTAGACCGCTCGTATTACATGCGGCATAAGAGTTGAATTGACGTCTTGAGATTTTGGTTTGACGTGCCTTTGGTCCTGTACAACCTTGACATTGTTGTGACTAACGGTGTTACCTGTTTTTGTATGTACGAGCAGGAAGCAAACAAATTTTGCCATTTTTACTATTAACACATATATGGCAATTTTTAGGGGACACTGTGGTGACAATGTGCGCGGACGAAGATGACGAAGTGTTTGAGTGTGAAGAGTCCGCCGCGGGAGGCAGCGAGGAGTCAAGCAAGCGTCGTTCGCAGAGCCTTTCTTCGCTTCAGAATCCCGGATCTGCGGAAAAGGTAACAAATGTTTTGTATCCTGTAGCAGCCACAGACGTGCCAGAATGTCTAACCCTCTTCCGACATTCAGGCACGTCTTAGTGCAAGCAAAAGTTACAATCATGCCTTGTGAATCAGCATAAGACACACGTACCAAATTAGTATAAATAAGTAGCTCAAGTAAATATATCAACAGTTATAATCAGTTCATACATTAATATACAGTCATTTACCAACCCACGACTCGTCTATCATTCTCCACTAAACTGCCATGGCGAAGTGGTGACTACCAACACCTTTCACCTGCGCCATGGTAAACTGGTGACCCCGACGTGATATAGTTTTCTCTTTTTCTTTTTTACTAAGCGGGCAAACCCTTTGCACTGTGTAGACGACATGTTGCTACATCGTTTGCATTTGTTGTGTAGTTTATATAATAATAACATATATATAATAATAACGCACACACTCAACATAGCCCCGCACTACGGAAACCCTGTGTCGCGGGTGTCATGGACACACACATAGACACCTACAAATCACACCCAAACTCACGCGAGAAATAAATGTAGGCCATACAAATACTTCTCCCGGCCCGGGAATCGAACCTGGGACCTCTGCGTGGCAGTCCGGCATGGTAACCGTTCTTCCACTGAGGCAGAGAGGAGGAGGCATTGCTGTGTTCTAGGTTAAAGTACTGCATTTAGCGCTTTCCCCATTGTAGTTTACTGGGTCTTAGGAGTTTGAACACTATCATAATTAACAAAATGAGCGGTATCCTTCATCATCTAAACGTTTTATAATAACAAGTAAAGTAAGTAAGTAAGTAAGTAAGTAAGCGCTAATAAAAGTATTTCATAACAGAAGGAGCGTCGCATCCGTCGTCCGATGAACGCGTTCATGATATTCTCGAAGCGGCATCGGCAAGTCGTGCACCAGATGCACCCCAACCAAGACAACCGCACCGTGAGCAAGATCCTCGGCGAGTGGTGGTACTCGCTAAAGCCTGAACAGAAGCAGAAATACAATGAGCTGGCGAGTGAGGTAACTGCAATTCCTTATGTTCTCGTTGGTAAATTGTCTTACGTGCTACATAGTCAATGATTAGTGATGCAACTGACCTTTGTTTCTTCTTTCGCAACTTCGGAAGTTCCGCACGCTTTTTTACATTTGTTTCCGTAAGTTTTACAAAGAAACTTTAATCGAAAATTTACAACGTCGCAACCGATGAAGCACGCGCGCGTTTTGTTTTTAGCAGTTTTGTGTTGTGTTGAGCGCAATTATGACACCAAACCACGTACACTGTTTGGAACTATTTTGTTGAGATTTTTATAGGTTTTCACACTTTCGCTTGCGCATCCGCTTCCGTTACCGTTAAGATTTATTTTTGACATCTGCGTCCGTTTCTGTTTTCGTTATGACATTTCCGTTGCATTATTATCAATGATCTACAATGTATAATGTACCGATTTTTTTTGTATTTAAAGTTATGTTATGTGCATAAGTAGTAATAGAATAAGATCTATGTATCTCTTCGCATCGTTTTGAATTCCATCACTTCACTATATAACATTCATTGTTGTAAACAGGTGAAAGAAGCGCATTTCAAGGCACACCCCGAATGGAAGTGGTGCAATAAAGATCGCAGGAAGTCATCCAGCAGCCGCGACCCTAGTGGCTCTATGCCTCAGGTAAATAAGCACGATATTAAGCATCAATTCTACAAAATATGTTACAATACCTAGCGTCTGCTCCCAGAAATTAACTACTTACACTGCAATAAATGAATAAATAAATATTAGACAACATCACATACGTTGCTCTGATCCTAAAGTAGTTAATTATAGCACTTGTGTTATGGAAATCGGAAACAACTGTACATCGAGTATATAACCAGAAATAGAGACATAGGGCCATCCATCCTTGGCAACTCATCAGTCAAATGGCACTAATAACACTTTTAAACATCACATCTCGTATGCGCTGAAATCACAAATTAGAAAGCTGAAATAGTACAGCGCCAACAACTGACCAGTGTGTAGGTACGTCTCCGTATATTCCAAAAATATTCTGTTTTTAGTATAATGAAGACAACATCTCTAACTATTGGGGGTGTTCCTACCGGACATGTGGGAAAAATCGCGAAACATCTAATTACAAAATACATGATATAAATAATTACTGGCATAATAGTTTTCAAACAAATTAAAAGACATTTCGTCTCTATTTCTGATTATATACTCGATGCGGTACCGTTGCATCACAGCAAAAACCCAGACCCGAGACAATATAAAAAAGTTAATTTCTGCATTGACCCGGCCGGGGTTTGAATCCGGTAGGTACCTCAGAGATGGCGACATGAAAACCGGTATGCAAGGCGCTCGACCACGGAGGTCATTAATTAGTAAATCGTAACGACACTCCGAATAAAGGGAGATTATATAGGGTTACTTGTAAAATACTAACAACCTCGCAAAGACATTACTGGCATCATAAGCAACAACTTTTTTTATGATTTAATAATAAATGACGATATTTTACTTTGGTACGAAAATAAAAATATTTAAATAGATCGCTCTAAACGGTGATAACTCTGTGCGATACCAAAATAAAGGACCCGCCACCAACATTATTTTTATGAACAGCAGCACATGGGAGGTGTTGCTAAACAACTTACTTATCATCAAATACAAATCTAGAAAATGTCAAAACGGAAAAAAATATTAAGTTAATTTTTGGTAAATTTGTTTGGATTTGTAAGTAATAACAATAAATCATTTATTTCGGCCAACATGGACAAATACAAAACGATACAAAGATTTAATACAATTAAACTAAAAAATAAAATTATCACAAAATGAAAATCAAAATTAAAATAAATAACAATATAAATAAAAGAAAATGAAATTACAATTAGAATACTATTTTAGATTTACTCAATAGATGTACGATGTTACAATGGTTCATGCATTGACAGTCAAGGCGTTCAGCGTTCAGTAAAGTCATGGAACAAAAGTTGTTGATTATGATGTAACAATATAGTTCTGCGAGGTTATTAGTATTTTACAAAATAAACCAGTATATTTATTTCGTAAATTGTATTGTAGTTTACATAGTAGTCTGAAAAATATTTATTTTCTATGGCAACCCTTACAATAGCTCCTCTATCTCTGAAACTTGCCATGCCCTCTGTACTACAGGTTCGCTGTATTGCAACATAAACGAGTATTTGCACTCCTTTTAATGTGAGCGTTCTGCATCTACCATTATTACCTTTTTTTGTATCTGTGTGTGCAACTTGTATCTTATCAAACTAAAGTCTTTATTCTGAATTATTTATTTCCTTGCAGAACCTGATTTGTCGATTTTAACAGCGCCGAAAGTAGCTAAAGTAATTTATGTTCTAAATCGATTGATAGTGAGTTTAAATTTTGATCTGAGTTGACTTTGTAAAATAATAGTAATATTCTCAAGGAACCAAATATTTTTTGTACCGACACCGAGGAACTAATTTGACATAATATTAATATAATAATAACGCACACACTCATAGTCCCCACTAGGGAAACCCTGTGTCGCGGATGCCTTGGAAACGCACATAGACAACCACAAATTACACCCAAACTCACGAGAGAAATAGATGTAAGCCATACACATATTGCTCACGGCCTGGGAATCAAACGAAGGACCTTTGCGTGACAGTCATGGTAACCGTTCGGCCACGGAGGCAGTTTAAGCGGATGCAACACGTGCAAATTATTACAGATAGTAGACAGAGAGAGCACCTGGGGGGTTGACCACTAAAATAGCTCAAAGTCCACTCAGGTGAAGCGGATTGGTTAAACTGTAACTATTATATATTATGCAGAGTCCTCGAACGCCATCTGAGGTGTCTAACGGCGGCGTGCCGGTGAGCGTGGCCGACCTACCGGTCAGCGTAGCGGCGTATGGCCGTGGCACCTCGCCTCCGATGAGCGACGACGAACAGATGACGGTGCGTAAAAAATTCACAGAATCGAATAGTAAACTACACCATTTTCTATAGATGACGTCAAAACATTGTACCTCGACCATTGACTTACAATTATATGGACGTCGGGTCCGCGCTAAAAAGTGTCCGCACTTGTAAGGCGCTAAAATCGTATACAGAGCGCGACACTCCGCTTTAGTCTTCATTTGTTCTACTGACAGCGCGATACTGCGATGACATTACAATTTAAATTTCGAATAGGTTGACTTGGGATATTTTTTTCGTGGTTTTTGTATTAGACCCGTCGTCCATTTATTTGAAAGTCAATGACCTCGACGACATTTTTTTATCATAAGTTGCTGAATAGATGTGTATTTTTTGTATGTATGTTACGCGATAACTCCGGCTAATTTGTAAACCGATTTAATGATTCTTTTTTTGTTGGAAAGAGGGTACCTCAATATTGGTCCCATTTAAATTTGAAGAAAATATTCCACCTCTAAGAGTGGCAAACTAGGGGTTGAATTCTGTTTCGCGCACTTTCCGGTAACCGATTCCAATAAAACTTGGCAAATAGATGTAATTCTACGATCTTTTGAGATCGGTTTCTTTTATAATTACTAAGTATCAACTTACCTTAACCTTAATACATGGTAATTTCTAATTAATAAATGCGTGAGTGTTTACAAGGATATGATGACCTTGTTGTCAGATCGCTCAGCAAGTGTGCGAAGAGCCTCCGCTGGTGACACAGAGCGTGGATGTCGATATCAAGTGCGAGCGGGTTACAGACTCCGACTCGGAAGGCCTCGAGACGCAGCAATATTTGCCCTCGCACCATGATCATACAAGACGCCCTAAGCCTATTAAGGCCAGGTCTGTATTAATGGATACAAATGCTACTGCTCTTCTTCCTTTTGAGTCAACAGCTTAGTGGTGGCATCCGCTTGTTTGTGCAATGCACAACGGGAGGTGAGTCTGTATCAACAGGGCAGGGCCTGACTGATGAGGTCCCTCTGCAGGCTTGCGGGTATTACGCTCCCCGTATAACCAAAAGGTTGATGAGGAAGGATGAGGAGGAGGTCCCTTACACTAAAACTTAAGTAGTGAGATATGCGATTGTTCTTCTAAGGAGGAAATTTTAAAAGGAATAATGTTTGCGGCGTCACAGAAAGGTTTAAAACTTGAATTTGTTAACATAGTCGTAATTTTTTGTCAAACATCCTTCATAATTTAAAACCTAGAGAATGTGTTTCGTAAGTATAGGATTTAACATTGTACTTTAAAAGTCAGACTGGATTTCGAGTGAAACGATTACGCCCCTTGTCATGTTTTCTGCCCTCAGAACGAAAAAAGGCACAACTATGCGTACTTTATACAGCAGTTGTGCCTTTTTTCGTTACGAGAGCAGTTTTGAGCACGAAAGCGTACAATGGTCCTACTTTCGGATCGATTTGACGCTGATGTTTGAAATATGATACGAATTGTCCCACAGTGCGGGATCTTCGGACAACTTACTGAGTGGCATCACAGCATCCAGTCCCGGCGGGTCCAAAGTGTTCCAGCCCACAGGAGGCGCCTTCAAGTCTACTCACGCCGATCAAGGTTAGCTCATTGTATAACACCATTTAATGTCACGTATCAACGGGAAAATACTTACACGACCTCCATAGTTTACGCTGTGTCCAACAAGAGTCCAACAATTTTCAGCAGAAACCTTTCTGCACCGGATATCGTTTGGGTGGACTAGGTAGTACACAGAAGTTTCACTATTCTGACACTCACAGTACGGGGCAGTGTCCGAGAATTTGACAAAATGTTTTTTTTTTGTTAACGTGCTTTTTTCATGATGTATAAGAAGTGGTTTGCGTGAAATATTCTTTACTAAGAACTTCTTTTTTCTATTCTTCAATCAAGAACACAGAAGTGTGTCTACACTGTTGTTTTGGAGTAGAAACAGACCTGGCCGTAGTACCGTGATGGTGATACCAGTTATTTTTTTATTGGTTACCATTAGACCACAGTTTCTCTCGATCTTAAATGACGATGTAGTCACCTAGGCATGAAACACATGGATGACACTAATGTCGTGTATTCATACGACATTGGTGTCAACCATTAGACGAAAGCGTGTGCCTGATTCATAATCGCATTATTCCTCCACAGGTGATAACCCAAGACAACAATGGTACACGACGATCACCAAGTCGAGTTTGAGTCAACCCAATCAAATACCGACATCTCCGCATATGTCGCAGTCCATTGCATCTAGTACTCAAAGTCTAACAAACAGCGTTCAAGGCATTTCTCTGGGTACGTCTAACATGACAACACAAGCGGCGTTGGATAACGCCATAGCCTCGATTATCAACTCCCCGACGGCAACGAGTGGCCTGCAAGTAATTTCGAGCGGTATATCTGTGCCGACCCAGCAGATTAACCAAGCACAATCAAATATGTTGAAAAGCGTCACTCTCGTTAAGAGAAACATTGCAGATACGACTTCGGGTGAGTAGTATATTTTTTATTATAATATCTATGTAAAGTGCATGTGTCCTGTCTACAAATGTTTTCATGCCTATTTCAAATAATACACAACATTTCTGCGTTTAAAATTAACAGTCGAATCTACTTTTTCCCCGCGGTACCCTGACTGGGCAAGATTTCTTCGGTGCCCAAATATTAAAGTTGCTGGAGTACCACTGACAGAAACATTATTGTGGTTTACAAAGTCGATGACCGTACCGGTTATCACGTAATTATGTTAATCAGTGTGGAAAACTTGGTAATAGTTAAAAAATCAACTATTTTGATTAGGGTGACTACTCCTGAAAAGCAACGATGTAGTGATCTCAATTTGACAATCTGATTTGATTGGTAACTATTATGCACCACTTTTGATACTTTCAATGTTATACATTGAAGATATATGCTATTTTAATTTAGTCATTCGTAGTACACTACAGAATAAATACAATTAATAAATGAGTATTTAAAATAAAATACCATATTCGATGCTCAGGTTCACGTGACATGAACAGACAACCTGACACTCATAAGTGCACTGCTGAGTAGTCTATTATAGACTAACATTCCCCATGGGTTGAACTTCAATACACTCGAACATTCCAGAATATTTATTTCAATAATATCAAGGGTGTTAAAAATGTTACATTTTCCCTGTCAGTCACGGGGACCTGGTAGACATTCTAATTTCATTTTTATTGTGTTTAGGACCCCTGACGCTGTCCCTGGATGCATCAGGCACTTTACTAATCAAGACAAGCCAGACGGGCGAGACGGTTACCGCGGTGGAGCAGCCGCAGCCGGTGCATTACGTGCAACTGCAAAAACTCTTCGTGCCCTCTTACACTACAGGTATATTTCATTTACACGTACAATATAATCAACTCAAACTAACTTTTCCGTGGATTCTCTCACAAAGTCACCCACTCAAACTAAAACGGACTTATAGAAACAATTTCAAGATGGGGTGATTTTTGGGGTGTTGCCGCAATCAAACCAGGGGCCCTACTCTCGAAGCACAAAATATGTACTTGCGGTCGTTTTCCCACTAGGGATGGTCTACGAAACTATTCTCGAAGTGCTTCAACGAAAAAATGGGCACTATCGAAACTATCAAACGGCCCATTCGAAGCTGTCTAATTGCGTTATCATATATTCTTAGTTCTAGCCCCGATCGAAACTTAAGTTTGTAGGTCACCTCTGTTAGATAGATAGATTTCGTGCTTCTGGAGTACGGCCCTTGAAATCCTTATGTCGTGCATATGTCACAGCCTTTTTATGTTTTAGCACTTATTTTTATGTAATTTCGTGTGAAATCCAGTCGTATGTTGACCACACAAAATGGAAAAGAAAAAACAAAGTTTATTTTCAGATTTGCCATACAATGAATAAAAAAACTATTCTCACAGCGGATTCTTGAATTTCTCATATACTTTGTAATTTTCTTGCAAAATATGTGTATCAAAAGTCGAAAGGAAAAAGCAAAAGAACGTGTTCAAATTAAGAAATGAAATTATTAAATCAAAGTTGGATTTACTACTTTAGAATAAAGGTGATTTCGAATTTAAATTAATTTTCGATTTAGGTATCACTAAGCCCTTTTCACCTTTCAACCATCGATTTGTTTTCAACCATAGCGGAAGTGGAACAGCCAAAGAGCCAAGCGCAAACTGTGCAGACTGGTCCCTCGGTGATCGTATCGCAAAACAATCACTCCAAGCCGCTACCTCAACCCAACCCGTAAGTAAATGTCAAAGAATGCCTTCTTCCTACTTTCCCCATATGCAGGGTTATTTGTAAAATACTAACAACATCATATACAACAATTTTTATCCCACCTACGACTTTTTACAAAACAATAAATTTATTAAAAATAAACTTAAGTTTTTGTTGTACGTACTGACTGACACTTTTTACATCTGTTTTTGTAACAACTCCTTCCACGTGTTGTTGTTATTCATAAAAATAATTTTAGTAGTAGGTATTTTCTTTTGCTATCTCACAGAGTGGTAAATGAGCGATCTATTTAAATATTTTCATTTTTGTACGAAAGTAAAATCTGATGAATTATTAAAAGTCACGAAACAAAAGTTATTGTTCATGATGTTAGTGATATCTTCCTGCTAGGTTGTTTTATTTCTACTTAATAGTTCGTGGTTGAATGGACAATTTAACTAAAACACAAGCCCTTTTTAATTTTTAATCATTGACTTACAATTATATGGACGTCGGGTCCGCGCTAAAAAGTGTCCGAACTTAAAGGGCGTTAAAATCGTATACAGAGCGTCATTCACGCTGCGATGACATTACAATTTCAATTCAACGTATTAGCTTTTTCATATTCCTTGAAATGTCACTACGCTTAAATAGGTTGACTTGGGACATTTTTTTCGTGGTTTTTGTATTAGACCCGTCGTCCATTTATTTGTAAGTCAATGTTTTTAATTAATTATGTAGTACACGGAACAAAATCCATGTATTGCAGCACTTACCGCATAACTTCCGCATTAAGTTACTATTTTTAAATATCCACTCATCGCCACTGCATTGTATTTATATTACAATTGCAATATTATATTTTTATATTCTTTACTGTTACCGTCACTTCTTATGGTTCCACGCTTACAATTAGGTCTCGCGATGATCAAATGTAGCTATCGATTTTCCAGGAGAAAATGTGTAGTTATTTTGTACTCAAATACTCATTCACCGTTGGTAGGTCAATGCAAATATTTGATATTTATTTAGTTGAGTATAGTATATTTCTCTCAACATTACAAATTTCATACAAATACAATTACATGTCATTTTATACTACTCTTCGAAAAGTGAGCGTCAGTTTACAAAATAATGAAGAAATAATTATATAATAGTAAGTCATAAGTACACAAATAGTGTACATATTATACAAAATCGACATAATGAATGAAACTAAATAAATAATTGAATTAAACTAATTATGTCAAGTGTGTACAGGAAAATGTCAATATGGATTTAGATAACATCTTGGGCTTTGATCGCTACTGAACTTGTCAGCCCCATTAGAAAGAAAACATATCTATGTCAAAAGAGATAAATCAACCAAAACATGTATATAAAATCTTTGCGGCACTACTTGTGCTCTGCCATCCTTAGAGGATGGAAAAAAATAAAAGGAGCCATCAGACGAAACGGATTGAAACCACCAAAATTAATATTTAAAAAAGGAATAGCATGCGTCACAACAACCGCTTTGAAGCGGTGTCAGATATGACGAAGTTAATTTTGATTAAAAAAAATGTTGTCATTTTAAGAATATAAACAATGTGTGTGTCGTGCAGGCAATGGGATACGGCCGTGGAGGATACCCGTCCTTTCCCGCTGGCGCCCACTCCAGCGCAGCTTGGACGGGCGCCCTTGCAAAAACGTCTTAGTCGTGGTAAGTATCCACTCATTTATGGACTCAACCCTTCCTATATTTTGATGTCTATTTATTTTACTAAAGATTAAAGATACTTTCTTTCTTTCTGTGTTGATTTGTTAAATAACTGTTTTGTGGTACGTCAGGTACGTCAACTGGTTCCACGGGTAGCGGTGATCAGTCGCGCACTGAGCTACCCACCCCGATGGACACCGAACCGCTGCCCTCACCCAAAAAACTCGACAACCTGCCTTCGCCTTCTCATAAGAAGAGCCTGTTCAAGAAAGGCAACGAAGATGGGCGTGATAAGTACGTCAATTCTAATTTAATCGCTCTTTTTTGGTGGGGCTTAACATTAGTTTTGTTTATTTATTTTTAATATGAAGCATATTGTGTGGCAGAGTGCTGGAGACAGTTAACTTCGAGAAGAAATTCGTAAAACTGCCGCAGTTCAAGCCGGAGGCTAGCAGCCCTAGCGCCATGGTCGTTCCGCGTAGCCCGCAGCTTTACCTTCGCAAGAAGCACAACAAAATAGGTCAGTTTCAATCGTCCTAAGTGCTTACTGTATATCATATTTCGAGACATTTTTCAATGTGCTCTCCGTTATCTATGTGATTACGCGTAATACGAGGTTAGCTGTTTTGTATGCTCTAATTGGCATTTTTTTGTACTTTGCACATCGTTCTATGGTAACCACAGACGTGAAATTGTAGCGTGCAGAGAGCCGCACGTGGATTGATTGGTCGGCGATTAAAACATTCGTGTTTCTCTTTCAGAGGATGAAGCCACTGTGGTGACGCCTCAAATGGAAGCGGAAATGAACGGCGCGGGAATGCCGACCCCCCACTCATACACCACACCGCACACCACCACCAAGCTCGTCGGCAACACATTCTTCGGGCCAGATTTTAACCTTGACAGTTTCCGAGGTAGGTGCTTGACTTCATATTTACAATATTACGGTATAAATGGCAAGATGTTGGAACTTGTCTAATCCGATCTCAAGGGTCTACCCTTGAGATCGGGTCACTCCATATATGTTTACTTTCTGAATTCTAATTCAGAAAGTAAACATATATGGAGTGACTAGAAAAATGGGTAAACCGCAGGGCTCAATACCTTTCTTCTTTCATAAAACTAAAGTTTTCAAGTGTAAATTTATTTTACCTTTGGAATAAATGATTCTTTGATTTGACGTGCTTGATATATATAATAAAAAGATGAGCATTTGCTCGCCACATTACGCCAAATCTTCATTCTCCGATCGAGTTTAATTATTTTAATATTTAAATTTATAACTGATGCTATTTTAAATTATAACAACCCAACTACAAAACTGGGTGCGCCAGAAACCAATGTCTTCGGAAGGGCTTAAAACATATTTTTGGTTATAAGATTATCAATGGTGTCTATTCAGTGACTCCGTTTTTTTTACGAAAACTTATTAGAAGTGTCTAAAATTAAATGGAGATAAAAATATTTTCGCGTCCTGTTCGATGTCTTTCTCCTTATATACAGGGTGGAAATTTGAGATGAGTCAGCCAGTGCAGCAATCTTAACCGTCATAATAAGAAAACGGTTCTAGAAGACTGAAGTTTGAAGATATTTCGATTGCCATTACAGATTTTTTGTATCATTTTTTCAGCAAGATAAAAGGCAAGTTTCACGAAATTTTTTTCATGTCATTCGATCCTGTTTTTCGTAAGGATCAAAAATCTCTACGAGACCAACTGCAGAATACTCGTAATGTCAAAGAAACTTTAAACTTCAAAAAATTTATGGACAGTGTTCTGGGATCATTTTCCTGTAGCTGAGGGTTAAGATATGCCCTTGCTGACCAGTCTCAAACTTTTAGATTTATACTAATGTAGATGACGTGTTTCATTAGGTTCGATATCTGAGAGTTTGGAGGATATGTCCCCGCGCACGCCGTGTTCGGGCAGCGGCGGCGGCGCACGCGGCGAGGCCGGTCACCGACGGGTGCTCGAGCAGCGCCGCCATCTTGTACTGCGTCTCTTCCAAGAGCACGGCATGTTCCCCACTACGCAGGCCACCACTCAGTTTCAGGTAACTGGCCTTATCACGTTATTGCTAACTGTGCGCGCTTTTATATAGCGGTCGCAGGACAGTGTCCATAATTTAGGACTTACAAATTTTACAGAATTTGATAGTTGGTTTTATTTGATAATTTTGTCTATTGCCGATTATTGTCATCATCAGCATCATTACTGTACGTTAGCCTCCCCAGTAGACTGTTTTTTTCGGAAGGTGGATTAGCGATCTGCTATTTCTAAATATTGCTCTGGTTTATATCAAACTATATATGTTGCGGATACCAGCCCTTTATACTATATGTCTTAAAATCGAATATCCTCTAAGACCTCTAGCAGTTTAATCAAAATCCGATTCGTTTTGGAGCCTGTTCTGTGTATACATTCAGTCAGAGAACAATTTAAAAAAACGTTTGTGATGTAACGAATACGTAAGTTTGAACAACTGAGTTTGCCCATCGCCTCCGCACCTAGCGCAATGAGATAAGTCGTAACCTGTCACAAGCAAAAGGCATTTTTACTCCGAACTTTCGGCAGCCGAATAATGGACACTTTGGCCGAGAGCGTGGCCTACTATTCTGTATTCGGCCAAATCACTATTGCGAGTTGTAATATATAGATTAATCAACGGATATGTTCACTACTGACAGACGTATTTTTGGAATTTTTCATTTTGCTGTCTGGTGTATTGTTTAAAGAAAAAGCCGCGTTCCATTTCAGGTTACCCATGTAGATATATTCCCGACGAAGATGTCGCTACAGCTCAAGATCCGCGAGGTACGCCAGAAGCTGATGGCCCAGACAAACCTCACACCGCACTCCGAGGTCAACACGCCGACTAGTAAGTAGCCAGAGGCTTCCAATTCTACTCTTGCTCAGTTACGAGGTTTCATTACTTGCGATTGATTTATATGTACAGTCAACTAAAATACTTATCATTTTTAGAAATTATTGTGATAACTTTACATAAACAAGTTGGTTCAATTATGTGATCCTTTTATTTACTCATGTTTTTACTTTTTTTACAAGTAATATAAGTAAACTAACGCTCGAAAGAGACAATTTTTTTTAGTTGACTGTACTTTTTATTAGTTAGACATACTTTAATAGACGACAGTGCCCATTTAAACGGAGAACATGTTCTTCGAATGACGAAATAAATTTCTATTTGAGAGCAATGTTGTTCATATCGCGTGTATGTTATTATGTTATTTGTTAAAGTTCGTCGATGCAATAAATATTCAACCTAAACATCTAAGCAGCAAAGTGTCAATTGTCACCTTGTGTCGTGAACTGCAGCAACGTATTATAGCAGCATCTTTGAATTGTGAATATATTTTGTTTGTAATAATTCACTGCGCATTTGCAAACGCAGACGTGAATACCCCGATCGTGTCCGCAGCGCTGCAGCCTACATCGACGGCCAGTTAGCGGCGCGGCTACGCCATCTGCGTCATAGTCACGGAGTAAAGAGACGTCAGTATAGCTTCACCGTGCCGTCACCAGTCGCTCTGGCTCATGACCTTTGAGTGCAACCGTAAACATAGTGAGAACTGTCGATTGCAGTGCATTTAACATTATGTAGAAACTGTTCCGTGACTACCTAAAGCCCATCGTAGCATTCTATCGCGTAGTATAGTCGTACAAAATAAAATTTGTAACAGACTTTGTGATTTCGATAATTGTATTAGAGATTTTCTCGCAAATGCTTAATAGCATTTGAAATATTTTATAGATATCAACGTACGTCTTGTATCTTATTTAATCAATGTAAACTTATGTGTAAGATAACGATTATGTGTAATAAAGTCGATGTTTTTCTGAACGCATCATGACGTTCTATGTTAGTTCTATATTTCTTGGTAGTTAAATACATTGTCTTTATTATCGTGATCAGTAAACGCGAAATCGAAAAAATTACAAAAAAATGAATTCGAATGGAGAAAATAATATTGGAGAGCTCTGTGAATTTTAAGCGACACATAAACGAAGGTATTTTCATAATAATGTGGTTGTGTACAAGTATTTATCTCAATTGTCTTACTGCAAAAAAAGCTTAAAAAACTTTCGTATTGTGTATGACTCGAGCGATCGCGTGTGTGTATTTTTAAGGAGTACGAATTATGGAACGCGTTTGTTCCTTAATGATGTAGGCTGGGTTTGTATTTGAACACAATATTATGCGTCGTTTAGCCTCCGTCAACGTGATTGCTCCTAAGCGAAGCGAGTATACTTAATATTTTAAAATTGACGTATTTAGGTGTACGATATATCTTATTTTCAAGTACGTCTTGCGTATTTTATTACGGTTCTAATTGTAAATTCAAACGTCAGTGCCTCTTATCTCGATGGTTAACAGTGACAGTCGTCGTTAGCGAACGCGTGAAACACTTGAATTTTGTATGGTTAATTGTATAGCGCCCCTAGCGGCTACAAGAAGAAATAGCAGCATTTTGTGCAAATATTTTACACAGTCGCTAGTGAAAACAGTCACTTTATATTCATGCTACAGGTACTGACGGTTTAGCGTATCTTTACTAATTCTTATAATAATTTTAAGCGTCAATTTCATGTAATTAGCACTTCTCATTTCAAGCAAGCACGATCTCAGTACATATTTAAATGTATGATTCATTCATCGATCATTATTTTCATTTAATCACATTTTTATAATTCATTGTCTAACACACAAACCATAGATGTTATAAAGCTTACAGTTAAGGGTTTTGTCGGTCAATGCCAGATTTTATCGTAACTAGTATGCATTTATTCAGTATGTTCGTTCTCTATAACCAGTAGACGTCTGATACCTAGGCATATAGCTTAGCATTCTTATTATATGTAATACACTATAAGATTCAGAGGAGCAAGCGGTACATGTATGTATTTACAGTATACCTGGTGCGATTCGTTTTATCAGGATTTTGTTTCTTTTATTTATGTTGTGATGTTGGTCTTCCACAAGTTTGATATGTTTTCATTTTGGTTAAGGACATAGAGTTATGTAATTTTTATGTACAGTGATTTTAATTTAGATTAATTGCTTGTTTGGAACAGTTCTAATAATTGGAGTTAAACGTTAGTGTTTTGGATGCCAGGTTTGCCATTGGCGCGTTATCAGTAGGAGGAATTCAACGGAGGCAGATTTCTTTATCTCTTATATAATGCTTAATACATAATGGAGTATATATGTAGCGCGGATCCGAACCACAAGCGCGCAGTTTATCACACACAACACAGCAATGGATACAAAACAGCTCAAATGTTAACGACACTAGATATATCAATAAATACATTTCGTCTCAGTGTAAATATTAGTATATGTTTCTAGCGCTAAGTATTCCCGGCTCTCAAAGTAATTTCTTTATTTAAAGAATGCTAATTAGTATAAATAAAAAATAAAATCTAATTTATACGTGAAGATTTTTGGCCAATACAAAATGTTATGTATCAAAATTGTAATTTTAAGTGATCTCTTCGGCGATAGATAATTACTTTAGGAGTCCGGAGGTGAAAAGAATTTATAAAAAATGTAAATGTAAGAAGTATTTTCGCACTGTTAAATCTACTCTAATTAGTCTTGTAGTTATAGGCATACTGTATCCTGAAAATTTTTAACTCTCAAAAATTGGATGTTATATATTATAAAGTACTCACAATCACAATTTTATTAAGAAAGCGGCAGGAGGTTAAGAACTTTCTGGTTTGGTACAAAGAAGTGTAGGGAGTTATTGAATGCTGTCGACAATCGTACATACGGAATATAATATTAAACTGTTGTTACCACATAGACTGTAATGTTGTACTACACTACCTATATCTCTATTGTTTAATGTTTACTCCGTAGTTTTCGACGTCGAATACTGTGCTTGTGCTATGTAGGTCTCCATAAAGCCGTTGGTGTAAGGTCGTGGCTTTCAAATTTTAAGAACATTGGATTGTTCACCACTTTTATTTAGCTTGCAACAAGTAATGTTTATGAAAATCGTCATCAGTAATCAATCGTCATTAGTAGCTTAGCAATAGGGAATCGGACAAGTTTTTAGAAATTATTTAAAATATAATGGGCGTAGTATATAGTGGGTGGTAGCCTAAGTTGTTTGACCTATCGCCTCTCAAGCAAAGGCCGTCGGTTCGAATCTGGACCTCTGAGTTTCTCGGAACTTGCTACACGAAATCTGAATTGAAATTTATCACGTGCCTTTCCGTGAAGGAAAACATTGTCATGAAATCTGTGCGTCGAAGAAGGCTCACAACCTTCTGAAAACGTGAGCAAGTCCCCAACCCTGGTCCCAAAGTCCCCGTACTGGACTATTGCCTAAACCCCGCCTGAGAGGAGACCCATGCTCAGCAGTGGGGCGTATTAATTAGTTGATGATGAATGGGTATATACAAGCGAGTAGAATATTATTTTATTTGAATAAAGTTTTTCAAGTCGCTAAAACTATGTTTGATAGTAATATTTTAAAAAATGCCGTGCAAATGTGCACTACTTACTGTCCTCAATCCAAAATTTATACAGTTTTTGTAATTTTTGGTAAAGGTAATACGTGATAAAGCGGAGAAAACAACACGAATAGTATGAGACCGGTGAATACGGTGACATTTATTTATTTGCCTACGTACAACGTCACCTCGTGTGTTTGGTGTTAGCATAACAGACACAAAAATATTGCTTGCTCATTTTTATTATACAAACATCTTCCAAACTACGTTTTAGATCTTTTTTATTATTGTCCGATTAAATAAAATAGCGATGTTAAAAAGATTGATAGAAAACTACGAGCTCGTTCTTACAGTCAATTAAACATAACACATTAAATAGCACAGTCATTTAAGTTTTCGTACATACTTGTAATAAATAACGTAATACATGAAAATCTTCATGTAAAGTCACCGCATTTAGTAGTACTTGAATGTTTTTCACAATCGGGATGCAGCTCGTGTGATTACTCCCTTAGGAGCACAAGTTTAACACATCAGCAAATTTTTTATTTTGTACCGAAGGTCATACTTGAGTAATTTTTGATAGAAAAAAAAACGAAAACTGATCTTATTATCCTATAAAAACATACAGGTTCAAAATGGTTTCCACTCAGCATTCAGCGTGTCACTCTCAATCCACCAAATCGAATTCGATTTCGCTTCATAATTTTAAAGCTACGACCTACAAGAAACTCATTTCTATCCCAAATTGCGCAATGAAAGACTACTGAGGTTGTTGGAAAAATGTCATTCGCACTATATTCATTAAATCGCTATACGAAATGATATGAAAACGACCGTAAAATAAGAATTTCGGCAAAACTATTGTCGAAATATTTGCTATCTTCGAAATCGATAATGCAAATCGCAATCTTCTTGGCAAGAAACGTCGCGGTGGTAGAAAACAATAGTATTTATAATAAAAACCGAAAGTAGTGTCAACACTAGCATACAGCTTTGATTCGCAACCATTGCCACAAGGATTGCGATATGCCCTTCGATGTCTGTCTATATTTAAGCAATCATTAACTTATTCCTAAGTTTGAAACGTAGTAACACATTGTAGTAATCTTTACACGTGTCGTACCAGCGACTTAATAAAACATTTTTAACCACAATTTTCCTTTTTTAGCACTTTTCACGTTTATTTTACCTATTATTTGCGTTATTTTATCTACAAGGCAAGAGTTTCGTTATTATTTACTACGTTATTAAAACTATTTGGATCATTTGTGCTTGCAATTGTTTATACTATATGTTTCAATTTTGTTTCTAACTGTCCATATATTTTGCCTACTGTTGAGTTCTATACATTTTACTAGTTTTGGAGATATGTCGAGTTTTGAGTGAACGTATTTTCTCTGTGTAAAGTTAATAACAAATATGAAAAACCCGTAAAGGAATAGCAAACTGCAAGTTACCAGTTCCTTATTGAGTAGCAAAACTGCGCATACATGCCACTTAACAATTTATTTGTAGTTATTCATTGCATTACCACTATCTTTTCAAGCGCACACTGTTCCATTTAAATAGTTTTGTGCTGTTACATGGAAATACTTATAAAAAAGGCTTTACTTTGATTCGACAAACTGTTAAATTTTATCAGTATGATGTAGAAATTCATGCCATCGATCTACTACACTGATATTTCATTTGTATACGAAATTATTATGTTATGGTACTAATTTATGGATTTTTACCATTTCGACCGATAATTATACTGTACAATAACAAATTTTCAAAAATGTTCTGTTTCTGGTTTGACTGTACATGCGAAAAGAGTAGCTATACCCATGAAAATTTTCTTTTGCGACTGTCACATAGCTACATAGTGGTATTTACATAATCTCGCAAATATACACATTTCTAGATGCTTTGTCATCAAAATAGAATTTTGGTTGAAATATACTATTGATTAGAAATATAATGTTACCTTTTTCACTTCAAATAAAGAGAAAACCAAAAATCTGTCCCTTTCATTAATTGTACGCAAATTTTAATATTTTGTTATCCAGAGCACAAAAACAGTTTTGTAGGGATTTTTTTTACATGTTTTTATGTTAGAACCAATTAGACAATGATATTGATAATCTAGAATCAATAATCGTGTTACATGGTGTAATCGTGTGCAGAAATAGGGCAGTGTCGCAATAATAAACCTTGTAGAAATGAGCAATTTGACAACTGAGTAAACCTTGCAAATGTGGCGTTTCAATACATAATAGTGTTATTTGTATTACTATAATCGGTTTTGTTACTCGATAAATGACGAATAATATGCAATCTTCTTTATCGGACTGAGTTGTTCTATGTTACAAACAAGTTTTAATGTTATGTTTTAAGTAATAACAGTTATTTCAAAGGGACATTTTTGATGAAGCATTTCATATTCGTTATTTATTACTTCTTACATAAGGCGTTAGTCTAATTGTTTAGTCAATGTGGCGTAAATGTAAATATCTGTTTAGGAGTTTTATTTAGATTAAGTGTTCAATTTAATGTATATTAGATTGAATTAGACAAAAGGAATAAGAGGAAAATATCTGACATAGTAATCACATTTGAATAAGCGAGTTTTTTTTTAATGTTTAAAATCCAATTAATGGACCCATAAACGGCACCTTAACTTAGAATCTATAACCACTCATGTATCTGGATACGACTCACAACAAATTTTTAGCAAATCGTCATAGTGGTGTGGACAGTCTGTTCAAGCATATTGGATCATTGTATGAACTTAATGTTAAAAACAATAAAAACCTCGAAAACATTTGCCATTATTTTTGTTTATGAACCTTGTTTTTACACAACCCAATACATACCACTACTGGTCACGGTGCTCATATGGAATTGGATATAAACAATAACATGTCAACCAACATTATTATAATTTTGTGAAAATAGCGCCTAAATATTATTTTCGTGGTTGTGGCTAATGGATTTATATCAACTGTTATTACCATTTGTTTTATTAATTGGAGATTTTAAATTACTTTGTTTGTGAAATGTCATTAAAATGTAGACGAGATGACAAGTTACAAATTGGCATTAATAACTCAATTTTCGAATTTTTGTGGGTTAACACGTTATTGCTTGCATCCAATTAAGGCTCGACAACTTACTGTAGAACGGAATGAAGGTGAATTTTTTAAATAAAATTGTGCACAACGCACAAACTAGGTACGTTAAATTGCCGAGACTGTGCAAGAATTCTGCAGACGCCCATGTTTATTGGTGTACCTATTACACCATAAACCCGAAGTGGTCCATACTGCGAGTGCTGCAGAGTTATAGGGAAGCGGTAGGGGCCTCTGAAGCAATTGGGGGCGATGATGCTATCCAAGGGGCGCTACCGCATTTGAAAGAGAAAAAACCTGGATTATCTATATGAACTATACTACATATTAGTATATGGTGGTGGGCATTGAAATTTTTTATCTTGCCTAAGTGGGCAGTGAGACAAGTTTGTGACCCTTCATTACTTTGGTCAAGTTCATTATGTTATGGTTATGTGGCAATTTAAATTCAACCTAAGTGCACTTATAATTCCCTAGATACATTGGTACTAAATAGCTCCACTAACACAACATGAGACCTGGAGGGCTTACATTGCAGGTCAATTTAGTAACAAGAATATCTGCATGACACCAGATATTGGCAGTAATTCCGTAGATAGGGCTATTGTCCGCCAGGCCAATGTAGATTGACATACCTTGACAGGCCAATGTACATTGATAGACCTTGGACAAAAGTACCACAGAGTAGGGGTATTGGAGCTTGAATGCAAGCTATATCGCACCCTTAGTAATATAAGGGCACAATCCAAAAAAAGTAGATTTTTGGGGAATCGCGTATTAAGATTCTGGATTCCTACATTACACCTATTTTTTCAAATAATATGCTTATTATTTAAGTTATAAATATGAAATTTGGCAGATTTGTTCTTTGATAAATGTATTATAAAGAGCAATAAAAACAAAATAATATAAATAAATTCCATAAGTTTCAAGCAAGTTAAAAAAACACTTTCAAGTTAGACCCATATAGTACAAAAAATATAACAGAAATATGGAGCTATATAAGTTTGATCCCATTTATTATTTAAGTCCCTATCAATTCCCAAATTTCCCAAAAATCTACTTTTTTTGGATTGTGCCCTTATATTACTAAGGGTGCGATATGGTAACACCACATCAGGGATGCACTTGTAAGTAAAAACACAAACAAATTTCCTAGTTACAAGAAATTGTTCTTGCACTTGCTGCTTAAAGAGTAAATTTATTGCTCAACAACCAATTTCTGACAAGCAATCTCTGGTTTAATAATTGCTTCATTAAATCAGGAATTCATGTATCTATTCAGCCAAAAAGCAACCAGGTAAATAAAGTAAATAAAATAGTTCCATGTAACACTTTTATTACCATTCTCATAATATCATAGTGACATACAACATATAAATTTATACCTACATTTTTGAGCTATTTACACATAAATACCTAGTCTATATACAGTTTTATAAGGTAAAGCACTGGTTCCTTGATTTTTGGTTTTGGTTACTGTTCAAAATTCTTCTTTTTTAGGTTCAGCATGTTCAGGTAATAATGATTTGTTTACTTCTGGAAATTCAGCTTTTATGGTCAGATTAGAGTTTTCACTTTCAAGAATGGATAGAGCAGCTTGTACATCAATATTATCACCTGGATCCGTTATACGGACAACTTTGAGAGCTGGCATTCTACTTAATGCAAACACAGCCTCAGCTGTTAATTGCATGCCAGTAATATCTAAGTACTCCAAAGTATTTCCATTCTGGCCAGCTATTCTATCTAGACACCACACATCAATGTGCTTGTTATTCTTCAGAGATAGCCACTTTAGAAAGTTCAAACCGCTTAAGTTTTGAAGTCCTTCATAACGAATGCCATTGTGGTGAAATTTGGAGCAGTCCACAGCTTCTACATAGTATCCATCTACATATTTATCAGGCAACTTAAGCTGCGGCATAAAACCAGTCATCCATATTTTGGAATCTTTCAATCTGAAAAGGCAGTGAAAAACAATTATTCCATTGTTGCCAAGAGGGTGCATCCGTTCAGATCCTACAGAACAAAGATAGTGAATAAAGCCTAAAAAGACAATTGAAATTTGTCTTTCCTTATATTTTACAGGTTTGATTATTGTTTCCGGACACTGGACATTGGTGACAATTACCATACTTTTTATATTATGTTTACAATATATTTATAATTACTAAGTAGAAAACTCGACCTTGGCGAAATCCTAAATGGGCACCACCAATAAACAGAAAGAAGAAAGTGTTCTTCTTCCTAATATATCCTCTCTAACATTTATATTTTTGAGAACCAGTACTTAGTGACAAGAAAGTCTTGAGCACACATTTTGAGCCAAAAGTGGGGTTGTGGGGTAAGTTGGTGCACATAAAATTTCATGCAAAATAATGACCATATTTATTCTTTTTCTCGTGTATTTCTGGGAATATACAAAAAATACAGTTTAATGGGTGCAATTCTATCTGGGATGTCAGTAGGGCATTAATGCAGTGCGGGAGGTAATGGTTGACTAATCTACCAATCGCATGCTCAATACTCTCTTGCTGTTCCTATCCACACCCCACCACTAGACACCTAAAATGCATATGTGCACAATCAAGATGTATAGCAATTTCTGAACGTCCCAAATATAAAGCTTTATGCTTGTGTAGAGTTGTAGACTCCACTCTCCCATTACAACATAATACAAATGCTAAGAAGCTCAATGTATGGTAGAACTATCGAGATTTATGAAGACAATTAAAAGATTGTTAACAAGTAAATATGTAAGCAAGAAGTACCTGATGGCACAATGTCGGTAGATGAAGAAGTGCATAGCAGCCAAGTTAGTTCCCAACACAGCCACTCTTTCAGGCAGATACTTTTGATTGTGTATCTCTTGCACTTCTTTCATCTCCGCCCACCAATCTTTCACCGCCTGAACATCAAGATTGGGTAATTTTTGCATTGCATTCAGTATTTCCGTGCTCGGATTCTTATCCGTGAATACTGCTAATTTTGTTTTCCATTCGCCGTCTCGCTCTATCCAAGGCTTCCTCCATTCAGGGTATTCCTGCCCGTGTACCACGCGTGGCAGTTTTCCTTGTTCTAAGCGCTCATAAATGGATTTACTATCACAGTAATCGCGTGAGGTTATGTAAATGGGACGACGTAGTTTGCTTGCGTGTGTACTTATCGCTATGGCAGCAATTAGCCTGTTCGAAATTTTAGACATTGTCGGCTCCATAATCATGCTTTGGATTTTATAAGATTTAAATTATTTCACTGATTCACAAGGAAAACATCGCATGGCGAATTCAGATCCAGAAATTGTATGACGTTTGGTTGGTAATGTCAAAGCGTCAATGTCAATCGCTTCTTACTATTTTTTTTATTAATAGTTGTCGCTTGGGTACAAGTCCTTTGAGCCTTGTCTTCGTTTAATTATTGGGATCCTCAGTAATTATTGCCATTGTAGTTCTAAATTCTAATATACATTATGTTTTCACTTTCTAAAGATAATTTATTTGGGTTTAAAGCGGCGGGAGTGAAAATTTATGTTTTACTTTCACTTAAATCACATTATCTTCTATCACTTTGAACAATAACTTTGAATTCGTAATTAGTGGAATTTTCAGGACAAAGTTTTTTGTAATTTGGTTTAAAATAAGGAATATAGTTATAACTTTCTTCATCACTATTTCTTTCTTCATTTTTTCTACTTAATACTTAAAATAAAAATAATCTTTGTAAAAACTGTACTCGTAACTTTTTTGAAGTTTTTAGTAACTCGCCATTTTTTTTATCTCGCTTCTTACTTCTGTCAAATACCTTTCAAATACTGTGCAGCAGTGATGGGTGGTGGAAAAGTATTCATCCTTGTCACCCAGGTTTAGTTATATGGTAATTTTCCGAAAAAATTCAAATAGTGGTAATTTTTCCGGAAAAATCCCAAAAAATGGAAAAATTTGAAAAATACAATTTGAAGCTCTTTAAAGGCTCATATTTTGTTCTACGTTTAGAAATATCTTTTGAAGTTTTATTTAGCACGAATTGTAAAATAAACTTGTATAAAAAGATAAGGAAATTTTTCCATGACCCAACGCTAAATCCTGGATTATTTATTTTATCATCATCTGGCTCTGTGAGATGAGGACCTAAGGTGTAACTTTAGGCATACCACTTTACCCCGTACCTTGAAAGTGTTTTTAGATGTCTAAATTAATGTAGGACACCTTTATTAAAAGGGGTAAGAATTATAGGAAGATGTTCTTTTTTGCAGGAGTTCTATCTGAATGTAGTTGAACAACTAATCAGATTTTTACCTATTTTCAATAGAATATGAAATAAAAGCAAAAGTTGTTGGTGAACTTTTTTAAATAAAAAAAGAATATTTACGTGAAAAAGAAATGTGTTTGAGCCTCTGCCTTTTAATCATAAAGTATTGTGATTTTTTTTTCTTTATAATACACGTAAATATGACTTGTTAGCCGTCGAAATATAAAAAAAATATTAAAGTTGCAAAAATTACACATTGTTTATCATATTGCAAATTAGTAAGGGTTAAACTATGTACTATAGGCGTTAAATAACATTTAAATAAGTCAAACGAAAGAACGGTTATTAAACCGGATAAAAATTCAGATCTGCGTTTGCACGTCACTAGTTCTGTCATAGTGTAAATTCAACTTTTAAAAGCTGGCAATGTATTCTTTGTAGTCTGCCTATTGTATTTGAGACTTGGAAGTAAGGATTTTTGTCGATTTCATACGATTTTAAGTTATGTATACCGTGGGAAGAATAATTAAAAAACGGGCTTTCGTTACACGTTCCAAAATTACTTGTTTATTTATTTTGTGTTAGTAATTATTAACAAAAATGTGAAAAAAAAGCCCCGTCTTATTTCTTGCTGAAAAAGTACAGGTACATATCGCTGCTTTTCAAGAAAGTGACTCAAACCGAAATAGTTCATATTCGTTGTATGATACGGCTGCATTTATTGTAGAAAATGCAAAATTTTATTATGAAATAAACATCGAGCTTTTTATTGAATATTTAATACAAACGAGTGATAAAAATGGTGTATGATTTTTGCACATTATATATTCTTCCATTCCATTTGCTTCCATTGTTTCTAAATCATCTTCTTGATGAAATAATTAATTTTGAGATGGGCCACTATTCCATAAAGCCATCGATATGTTGTGTTTACTGTGTTTACTTGGAAAAATTGGGATCCAAATTTAAATGTGAAGTGCTTTGATTGAAAATGGCTTTTTTGGCGCTTTCTAAAACGAGTTGATAAGTATTATTGCGTTTTGAGTTTCTTAGTTGTTTGTTGCTTGTTTAAGCTGACGGCTTAACAAAAAAATATTAAATGAAAAATAATGAAATTATTGACAAACAATGCAAAAAAGTAGAATCCTCAAAAATCTGAAATCATTACTTTTTTTTGATAGTTTTATGGAGGAATCGCATGTTGCACGCCATACGGCGTACATACGGCAAAATGACCACTTTAGAGGGTCAAAAAAGAAATATGTGAAATAATATGTGCATTTATGGTTACATATTTCTTACCTAAAGGGCTACTTTGTGTTGAGATTTGAGAAGATTTCTAAGTACCTACCTACCTAAAAAGGTATTTATAGATTATAAAAATAAAATAAAATTGAAAATCAAATTTGTATATTTTAATTAAAGTACATGTAATTATAAATTATACGTCAATTATGTCGTAAACAATGTAGTTAATTACTATCACTGTCGTCATGATCATCCATTGCTTCTTCGTCATTACTTTCCTTGTCTTCGATGGTTTCTACTAGTGGCACATCCAACATTTCCAGCACCTCCTTAGAAAATGGTTTTCTTTTTTTGTGATGGCTCCTCCTCTTGGATGCAATGATTAGATCAGAAGCTATTAGCATCCAGTGCACAATGTCGGTATTGGTGTCAATTCTGGAGGTTTTTCGAGCATGGAAAAGTCGTAAACCTTTGAATTCTTTTTGACTGGTTTCCAGCACATCTTCTGAAAACAACCCCACGGGCAAAGGTAGCTCCTTTATTATATCTGCACCGTGTATTAATAGCTTGTGCACAGATGCACTCATCTTGTACCAATTATAAAGATCGATGCACATTTTCGTAGTTTCGATGCAGTAGTTTTTAAAACTAATGTAATTTACGCTAAATCCACACGATAAAACACTGAGGATGTTGGCAAATCTTTTTATAAAATCAGGATAGGCCTGTGATAGCCCCAGATTTTGTAGGTTCAGCTAAAAACTTCCTTGCCGTATTCCCATCATTTGAGTTGCCCCCACCTTGCTTCGGTTGGTCTACTACTAATCCCATTTGCTGGTAAAATTTAGTGGTTATTTCTTCTTTCCGCTTTTTTATATTTTCTTTGGCTTCTCTGCCCCTCGCTTGCCATTGCCGTATTTCCAATTTATATGAGATATGCAATAAGTACTCGTAACATCTAAGGTATGATTGCAGTACGGATATTCCAAACTTAAATGAAGTTGTAGGATATTGTTTCTGTAAAAGTAAATCAAGGTTGCTGAGCTCCTTGGGTGTTGCCTTGCACACATTACACGCTTGTGTCGATGAAGTTTCTGTGAGTACGTTGCATGTCTTTCCGTCCATCATTGTACACACAGGATGATGTTCGAATGTGACTTCAGTAGGCAAAAAAATTTGATATTTGTTCCTTTATTTCCTCGTAATGATGTTTAACGGATTCATTTGTCTCCTCAATCTGCAGGCGAATGATTCGGTTATATCGAGATGAAGACGGACTTGGGTTTTGCCATCAAATCTGTGTTCCATTCGTGGTTACCTCTGATATTTGCAATGGAACGATGGAACATAGAATTATGTTAGTGTCTCCATACAATGAATTGTTGGCAAAACATTGCTTGTAAATCGAATGTCCTCCACTGCCATCAAGACCCCACTTGTAAACGACTTTGATCGCTGAGTTTTTCTCGTGATCGTGATGTAATAAAAGTACATTCTGCTGCATATGAGCAAGTCTTTGTATGGTGTGGCCCAAAATATCTTGAACTGGAATTTGCACTTCAGTCTCTGTGATTTTTATGTTATTTGGGTAACACTGCCTTTTTGTTTGTGCTATGACGTTGTAAGCTGGATATATGTTGGCGCCTCGCGATTTCGCTCCTGTTTGTCAATAAATATAATCTTCTTTTCCCATGTCCGAGTCGATTATGAGCGCTAAAGCTTCCTCAGGAGAGTAAGGCTTTAAAGCTGAATATGTTGGCGTGTCATGAATGTTTTTCATGCGTTTGTATCTCCTAGAGCTTGTAGTTAAAGCTAAATTTACTAATTTGGCAGCTGTCCTTTTTCCACTCTTAGTAAGGCTGGCTTGAGCAGCAGAACATAATAGCTCTGGGCTTGTCTCAGAAACAAGTGGTTTCATCACTCTTCGTTTTGTTCGTAAAGAGCTCTCTTCAAAAGGGTTTGCAGGTCTGCCTCTGGTCTTTTTCACTTGCAAATTAGTGTTCGAGCTTAAAGTGCCTACTGCTGGCAATACTAAATCGTTTAGTAAACATTTTGAATTGGCTTTTATAAATCTGTCCATGTTCCAATTCGATTTTTTCCACTTTTGTAACAATTTTGATACAAACTCTTTCAAAACGCACTTGATTTTGTTTACACAGTCTTTTGACAGTTCATATTCAGTAAACTTGTTCATTATGTAACTCGTTAATCGTTCTACACACTGAGACGATGATTGTTTATAAAAGTTTTCGCTTTTTAACACCAAAACCAGATCCATTTTTTTAATATTAAATTCCGAGTGTCTTGGTCCACTCCGACTACCTAGTGTCACAATGAGTTGGTTTGAGTTCCTAGAATTCACAATATTAGTAGTCAACAAACACACAAGTGGATATATTTAGGACAGAAAGCTGTACTAAGCGGAACTTTTTTTGAAAGCCTTAGGAAGTATATTTTTTTTTATTAAAAGTAAGAGCGGAATGAAACCGTCATTAATTAATACATAATTTGTATAACTAGGGTGAAAAAATATATTAATCAATAAACATACCTGTGGCCTCAATGTCCATAATCATTATTTCGATTTTCCCACGATTTGAATGAAAATAACACGTTGTAATGCCTTCCGGTTTCGAATGCAACTAGCCGTACACTGCACAATGCTATAATATAGTATAACAAAGGATGTTTTTGGCCAGCACTATGGCTCAGGTACTTGACTCGAAGAATACAAGCAATTTTAGACCTTATACTTAAGTAGTAAAATTTATTTTTGACCCTCTAAAGTGGTCA